AGAACACTGCCCAGTCTGAACTGGATTATGATCTAATGTAAAACCTAAAAAAATGGTAAAGCTTGAAGTACTGTGCTGTATATGCATAACTGATAGGAAATTTTTCTCAAATAATTTTCAAATTTTAGATTGGATATGATGACACATTCATTGGTGACTCACTGATCACATTTAATTTTATTATCTCCAGTTATATAGGGTGTCCACAAAGTCGTTTTAATTTTTATAACAAAATGGTAACATATGAAATGCAGTTTTCTGCCTATGATAGCTGAGGTAAGTTGTATATAGCCAAACTATTGTTTGTTTTATTCCTATTTGTATATACTATTTTATATAGCTGTGTGTGTTGAGTGGCCTAGGTGGTCAATGTAAATGTCAAAATTAATACTACTACTACAGCTTGACAGTTGTCTTCTCTATGGAAGTGGATGAACACTACATGACAGTATGCTAAAAGAATTTATAAAATGCAGGGATATGTGCCCTTGTATCACTTGTGCCATTAAGGCACGACTAGTTAAAAAAAAAAATTGTGATCATGTACATTTTTTCTTAATTTTAATTTTTTGTATCTCATTGCTAGTTTTCTTTTTAAAACCTTTATCTTTTAACTTTCAGAAATTTAGAAAAGGAAGCAAAACAAGCAGAATTATTCCTCAAAATAATAAGCCAGTCAACTACTACGAAGTTTTCCAAAACTCTACCATGTTTTACCACTGGAATGGGACTTACTCTGACTCTGAATATACCAGTGAGAGACAAGATAAAAATAAAAATGCCAAGGTGAAAAGTAAAAAAATTAAACAAGAAAGAAGAAGAATAAAGAAGATAAAACAACAGATAAAACGTAGCCAGCAACTGTTCAAAGGCCAACAACATGAACCATTAAAGATGGCCCATCATAATGAAAAACATATTATTACACACGTGCCACAATATGTGAATTTTAATAATGGAAGCCAGTTGCTCACTATCTTGCCTATGAATCTTGTGAATGGAAAGTTAAATCAATCTATGGATGACAAAAGTACAAAGACTACCATTGTCTATACTGATAAAGAAGCTAAAATTCCAGTTGAAGGAGACATTTCTCAGTTGTCAAGAATTATTGATGCTCTGAGGTTGGATGATGCAGAATCGAGAGGTAAAAGCAGTAGTGTGCCATCACCTGAAATAGATATTCAAACTCTTATAGACCACCTTAATCCTGAAGTTGATTCAAATGACAAAAGACATAGACAAAGCAAAATTTGCACCTCAAACAAATGCAAAAGTCAAAGAAAAACTAGAAGAAATAAAAACAACAAAAAAAGTAAGAGAAAGAATAAAAACAAAAGTGAAACTAAGCAAAGGAGCAAGAAGAACAAAACTAAGAAAAAACAACAGGCATCAGAGCAAGAGCTCCCTTCCCTGCAAAAAAATAGCCATGAGCATTCACATCAAATTGCTGCTGGTGATATAAAATATTCAGCTCCATTTCGTGTTGACCCTAGTAATATTCACTTTTATCATTTATATAAAAATCCAAATCTTCATCATGGAATTCACTCATCTGAACTATTTAGTAATATGTATTCCAAAACTGGTTCTCCTGTACATATCTTTGAAGTAGCTGACACATCTAAATTACCCGATACTAAACCATCAGTTATAACAAGTGCTTATGTCAAGGCTGAAAATCTAAAATCACAACAACAAATATCAGGTTTTGATACATATTCCAGTCATCACAGTCTGAATTTGGACCCAGACAGAAGCCAATTCAACATTGCTTCCCTTTCACAGAGGATAAATGCTCCACAACATGGTTCAATTATCCAGTCTTTTTCTAGTCAGTTGACTCCCCATTTAACATCAAAGACAGATACATTTCCAAATCTCCAAAATTCTCAGGCACTAATTGATCATGACTCGGGGGTAAAAATACACCCAAATCAATTTACTCCATCTTACATTACTCCTAACCAGCAAGGCCCTCAAATGCACTCAACATCCAATCAACAAAGCTTGAGCATACAGCTAAATAATCCTCAAAACACAGCAAGGCCTCTGCATATAACACAAAATAGCAATAGCATAGGAAATAGCAATGTTTATAGTCAACAAAATCCAGACTTCAAAATGTCTCACATTCAAGCTTCTAATACAAAAATAACTGAAGGCCAAACTTCAGGTTTTACACAGCAACATAATCACCAAAACTTTGGACCTCCATCTGAAAATCGCATTTCAGGTGTCTTTTATGGTCAAATTGAAAAAAACAATCGGCAACATGTAGGACAGAATTCACACCAGACATTTGTGGATTCACTCGAAAAAAAAGTTTATCCCACTGAACAATTAAACACAGATACAATGTATAATATTCAAAAACCAAGTTCCCTGGTTGAAGATCAAGGAAGTGAAAAATTTTCATCTGACAGTTTTTTTACAAACGAAAAATTTCCTCAGATATATTCTGGTCATGATAGTAAAAATGATAACACTAAAACACAACCTACACTTCCATTTTTGTACAGGAATAAAACTTAAAAGACGACAAAATAAAAGGCGAAGAAATGAGATAAAAAAGAAAAGAAATAAGCAGAGAGGCAATACACTACATAAAAGAACAAAAGTTAAACCTAGTCAGCATAGATATATTAACAGTGACCAGCCTGCCCCTCACAGTAAGTCAGAGAAGGAAATGGATGATGTGGGCAAAGTAGAAAAATATAATGAAGAAAAATTAGCTAACTCCACTGTGTCACTAGATAATGTAGGTCAAAATCAGAAAGATTTAGAAAAGCGTGAATATATAGTGAAGAATTATCCTTCAAATATTCAACCATTACATCTTTACTCCCACTTTCCTGTTATACACCCATTGCCTTATACTGGATCCCTTGTAAAAAACTACAGTACTCTCTTAATTCCTCCCAGAAAAGTGGAGTTCAAAGAAGTTACTCATAAATATTCAGAAATGCTTAATGCTGAGAAACAGGAAGTGATCCCTGTATTAGAAGCTCACAACCATTCCCTCTCAGTTCCTCAGCAAGACAAAACTAAGGGTGATGATATCCGTACACGCCCATATTCTAAACTCCTTCAGGAATACAAGATAACAGCTTCTGAAATGCTGCCCTTAAAAGGGATAATAAATGGTCAACCTGTAGATGAAGTGGAAATTAAAAGTTTGCCAGGTAATAATACATCATTTACAGATATGCTGAAGGACAAAAATTCTTTGTCTGATAAAAACAAAGATGTAGAAGACAGGCAAAATTTGGATGCAACAGTAAAACCAGTTCAAGAAGAAACATAAATTGAGTTGTTTAAAGTACAATTAAACCTTATATGGGTACCAACATTGCTAACAGACTTTAAAAAATATACTTTAACTCATATTCAAGACGTCAGTGTGATTAGAGAATCATTAAAAACAGTTCATTACAGTCAGGATGACTACAATGAATGATTGTAGTTAATAAAATAATTAAGCCATGATCATCATTCATTCAACTGTTGTCTTTCCAAAAGTGTGCTGACATCACAATCATTATACCCTCCTACTGTAGTATTTCCACCCTCTTTCAGAGTGCAGGCACTATTTTATTATTATTATTATTAAAAATTTTTTAAAGTGAAAAAGACAAAACTCAAAGGGCAAATGCAAGTGGGGTAGCAAGTGGTTAAAAATAAACCTTGAATACTCTGAAAATGGGACAATCTAAAAAAAACAGCAACCTTTCGTTATATTTTACATATACTCCCAGTAACCCCTTCCCTGCAACATGTACACTATCTGCTGAAGTGTGTTTCTAACTGAAGTTGAAATATAGATTTCTTTTTACCCGTGTTTAATTTTTCTTTCTCTGCAACATACACACTACTGAAGAGTGTTTCTAAGGGGGTTTGAAGTTGAAATATACATTTTTTTTATATGTACCTGTTAAATTTTTTAGTCTTGTTTATTTATTAAATCTTTTCTCATTATTTATGGTAAAATTTATAATCAAAACTGTTAATTAATTTTCTTACTGAATAAACTGCAGAAAGGAGTCTATACTTATTTTTTGCACAAAACTTTTTTTCATAACCACACAATAATGAATGACAATGTACAACTAGATTGCTAAACACAGTGAGCTGGTTGCTCCAAATGAAGTTTAATATAATTAAAGGATTACTTAATGACACCCCTAAACCAGGATCTATTTATTAAAATTCTGCTGAATTAAACAGAATTAAGTATGCTAACTGTATGTAAAAAAAGGGCTATGTTTAAAGAACAAATTTACATAAAACACGAAGTATTTATATACTCAGTACACTTTTTATACTAATTTAATATTTTCATAAAACTATTTTCTGGTAACTTTTGCTTCTTTTTTTCTTTTAGCCGGGATTGTTCTCAACAACTGTTAAAAATTCCCAAAGAAAATTTTCCATTTCCTTTGGATCCAAAACCTTTTCAACCTGGAAAAAAGTAAAATGTATGCAGGCTACAGAAACTTTTATTTCTGTTGGAGGAAAAAAAAAACTTTTGTAACATTATCAGTGTCAGAAATACAATGGGAGATAGTTTATACATGAAGCATTAGAGAGGTAACCCCAGTCTTTAGGTAAATTTCACTGAACATTAAGGGTTCACTCTGAAAACCACATTTTTTAAATGAAGAAAATTTTGTCTTTTGTCATTTTCCAACTGAACCCTTATAAAAAAATTTTGGGCAGTTTTTACTTGAAACTAAAAAAGTCGGCATTTTTATACAAACTGCAAGGTCATGTAGAGGTAAAATTTTAAAGCATGTTGGTTATCAAGTGACCTATTTTTAAATTTTAAATTTATGATGTTGAACAAATTCTCATGAATATTTTTTTCCCCACTCACATAGCAACAAGCTGTATTTTTAAATTTTTTTTATTTAAGTTAAAAATAATTCGTAAATCTAATTTTAATTTTTTTACTTAAAAAAAACTGCAGAATTTATTTTGATTTAAATACTGAAATATCTTTAAACAAAATCATTTTGACAGCTGTAAAAAGAAACAATGAAAAACACTTTCACAACCCCAACACCACACGAAGAGCTGAACCAACTAACTCGCAGATTTGTTTTAAGGGTGTGAGGTTAGTGGGGTCTGTGTTTGACTTACTATTTCATAAACATGTTTAAGGGTTATTTTGCCACTCACTTCCTGACCTATAAAGAAATATTGCAAATTAATTCACAAATTATGGTAAAACATTATTTTGGGTTTTATGCAAATAAGGTACAGTACATGTTTCCTTAAACAAGAATGTGGAAATTGTAAAAAAAAAAAAAAAAAAAAAAAAAAAAAAAACCAATCATAACTAATCATAACTAACATACTGCAAAAAATCTAATCTTTTGTTCATACCAGCCTTCATTGCACCTCTTTGAATCCCAGCTGCTTGTTTAATAAAGTATGTTGAAGGAGGGTTATGTATTACTAATTCATAGGATCTGTCAGGCCGAACTTTTACTCGGCACGGAAGGGGAACACCTTCTATATAGTGTGCAGTTCGAGTGTTAAAATCCTTACAGAAGGCTGCAATGTTTATACCACGCTGGGGAGAAAAAGGAAAGTGAAACATTATACAGTACAAGAGAATTACAGTACTATTGTGTGATGTGCTTTTTCTAAATTTACTGGGACCTCTAGGAATACAGCCCAACAAGTTTTAAGGAATCACTCTTTAATCACATGCACAGACATATCAGATAAAAAATAAAAATAATACAATAAAATTTTATTATCGTGTAGTTACCTGTCCTAACGTGGGTCCCAGGTGAGTTCCCGCCATGCCGGCAGGAATGGTGGTACGCATCACTTTTGAGTGCTTTACTTTCTCCATCATCTTATTCATCATTCGCATTTTACTTCCTGCCCGTGACATTGTTGCAAACCTAGAATAATTATGAGAATCTACATTAGAATAAGTAGAGAAAATAATGCAGCAAAATGTAGATTCAGCCAAAAGGAAAGTAAACAAATCTTACTTGTATTACCTCTCAAGGGAGGTTCCTTTGATGCTGGTGAGGTGCTCTTGATCTTGGGAATTGGATCTGTGCTGTGATCCCTGAAATGAGCCTGAATACCTTCTATCTCCCCCATGCACTGTATAATCCTATGGGTTTAGCACTCCCCCATATTATAATAATAACAATTACATGTATTAACTACAGTCTTGTTTTAATTTAATAAACCAAATTGTCGGCAAAACATCAATGATGGTCCCATATAACGGCATTTGTGTGTTTTTACCAAAGTGTCTCGCATCAATGCATAATCTACCCACCTGTTATTCCTATTCAACTAGCAGTATGTAAGGTAAGATTTTATGGGGATTTTAAACCCAGAGGGTTAGCCACCAAGGATAACCCAATAAATTCAGCGCATCAATAAGGACTGTCCCTGTATGACCCTAGTGGGTTTAGCGCTTATTTCTCTTGTTGTCCTTTAATCTTGGCATCTAATATGACCCACATTATTATTATAATCAAGGGGAAGCGCTAAACCCGGAGGATTATACAGCGCCTGGGGGGGATGGGGGATGTGGAAGGCATTCAGGCTTAATTCGGGGAACTGGAGCACAGATCCAATTCCCTAAATCAAGGAACCTTCCTTGAGGGAAATATGACCCACAACAGTCAACACCCAGGAAATATGTCCATTTCCACCCATGCCAGGGATTGATCCCAGGATTGATGCCAGACCCTGAGTGTGTGAGCTGAGGACGCTACCAACCAAGCCATGAGCACCTGGGTGTTAGCCAACTGTTGTGGGTCATATAAAGGACCTCAATAAAAATAAATCCCACCCACTGACATTCATGGGTTATCCTGGAATAGTAATTCCCTGAGATAGCTAATAATTATTACCAGCATAAACCCTGCTTAATTTATTGTTACGTTCATAGGGAATGCCGAATTTTGGGGGAATGGGAAGCATTAAATCCACAGGGGGTCATGCATTTTTTCTGGTTGGAAGGGGAAAAAAGGGCGGTTTGATGCAAAGGACAAGTAAAAATTTCCTGGGCATAAAGAGCCCCTTCCCGCTTCAAGATCCCTTTCCCTCGGGGGGACTAACAAAAGGAGAGGTAATAAATTTTTAAACCCAAAGGAAAAGGGGGGTAGCCCCAAATTTTTTTGGTTTAAGAGCCCTACCCCGGGTTGTCAAAGACCTCTCTTGGGGGGTTAAAATAAGTAAAAAAGGCTTCTGGGAGACAACAACAAAAAAAATCCCCTTTTAAAAACAATTTTTAAAACCACTCCTATTTGCTCTTTGTTTTTTGGGGTTTATAAAGTCCACTAACAGCTTAGGGGGCCCGGGGGAATAAAGGTTGCAAAAGGTTCTCTGAAAAAAAACCCTTGGGGAGGGAATAAGTTTGTTTTTTTTTTGGGAAATTTTTAAACCCTGGGGGGGGTTAGCCCCCCGGGCGTGCGTCTTGAGGGACATTTCTGGGGGGGCTAACCCCCGGGGTTTTAAAAATCCGAAAAAAAATCTTATTTACAAGGCTTAATATCAGGCCCCTTGAAGTATACAGAGGGGCCCGCACTTTAAAACCATGTTTGAAAAAAGCACGTTAAGAAGATTGGGAAAGTGCAAAAATTTGCGGGGCGAGATTTATTCCCCCGGGAAAGGTATGATTTTGAGGAGAGGGCTAGAAAATATCCCCCATGTTCACTCAACCTGAGTAAAAAAAATTGATGTTTCCTAAAATGGAATGTAGGGGTTGAAAAAATTTTGATATCCCCAGATGTGGTTTTGACGAATTTTCTTACTTATTTTTCCGGGTGTATGCATAACGGAATCCCGTTTTTCAGGGGAAATGCGGATGTGGATTTTAAGAAAAATGTGGGGGATGGGTTTCCCCGGGAAATTTGGGGCCCAGTACATGACTCGAAAACGTAAATACCAAAAATTGCAAACAAACTATACCACGACTCGACTTGACTCAAGAAATCGTAATGACACGATTGCAAACCCGCGGTCAGAGAGTCTCAAAACGCGACGGTCTGGAGTTTTGAGACTCTCTGACCGCGGGTTCAAATCCCGCCCGTGGTATGGTTTGGGGCCCAGTCCTTGGACCCATTATGTACCTCTGTTATCTTTTGGCTACCGCCCACAGAATGGGTATGGGGTATATAATAAACATTAAACTAACTAAAGGTTTGTCAGGAAGCGGACCCCCGCAGCAAGCAGCAACAAGGCTGCTCCTATATCTTGCCGTCCCCTGGGCCTATCCGAACTCCAGTGATGGCCAAATTGCAAGTACTGCTGCAACAACATGCAAGGAACCTATAGTGACATGAAAACTGACGATGACGACAACGAAATGGACTAAATAGGACAAAAGAGGGACCGGCATTCAAGTACCAGACCTGCTGCCAGACGTGAACCAGACATGAGACGTTCTCCACTACAATAAAATAACTGACCTCCATATCAACTGCACCAGTATTCAACGGGAAGACAACATGGCAGAAAACCTGATCAACAAAACTCCAAGGAAATGACAGGTCTGTAGGACTTTTTTTCCCCAGTGTCAAACGAGGGAAATTATTATTATAATCAAAAAGAAGCGCTAAGCCACAAGGGCTATACAGCAAACGAGGGAAAGAATTGAGCATTTAAACATGGCATAACACCAGCCACAAAGATCTCTATGACATTCCCCGTGTCCGACTAAACCTTTACAAAAATTCAATGTATGTCAAAGGCCCTAAAATCTTGAACACCCTCCCTGAAAACTCTAGAACTGCAGACACACTCATCACCTTCAAAACTACAGTTAGAAAACATCTTATCTCCCTGATACACCCCGTCAATTAATTACATGAATACCACCTGGTGGTTCACACTTACACTCACCCATTTGACCATAAACACAGAAATATCAATCTTAATCTTAAAATAATTAATCCTAACTAGTCATAAGTTGGCCTGTGATACTCCAATACTGAAACTATGTATTGTGCGAAAACAAAAGCATTCACATTGCTAAACTCACAAACTAGTATTTAGTCACTTAGCCATAATACCAACTTACCTCATAATTTGTAATATTTTAAATTATTATTATTATAATCAAAAAGAAGCGCTAGTAATATTTTAAAGTTAAGAATTAATTTAAGTCTGCCCGAAATGCCTAGCCATGCTAGGTGTTCTAGTGGTCACTCTGTAATTAGTTTTTACTACATGTAAACCACACAATATCCCAAAATTCTGTAAACCAGCATTGTAATCCTTATAGAGAATAAACTTGATTGATTTGATATGACCATTCGGATGCCGCCTCTCTTAGTCATTTACTTTTATATTTTATTTATTCAAGTATATGTACATAGGTATACAGTCCTAGCTGACAATCAATGACATACTACTATATTACAAAGCCGCTTGTTATGCAGGAGGCTGTCGGGCAGATTAGGTCCCAAGTTTTGTCCAGGATTGCGACCCACACCCAGTCCACTAACACCCAGGTACCCAATTATTACTGATGTGTGAACATAGACAACCGGTAGTAAGGAACACGTCCCATGTTTCCACCCTTCGCGGGAATCGAACCGGGTCTCACAGTTAAGAAGAAACATATTATTTCTATATAATTGTTAATACTATTTTAGAAATTTAATTAAATTATTGATAATATAGTGGACATAAAATCTGTCGTGTTTAAACAGTATTTATTATATACTAAATATCGACAAAAACCATACTTATCTCAATTGTCAATAAGTTTGTTAATGTTACAACAATATTTATTGTATTATAAAATTACATTAAATTTTTTTATTTTTCATTATAAAAATTATATTGTTATGCTTCATTATTGTATATTATGTGAATGGTTGTGCTAGTGTTAAGGATCATTGTCTAAAAAACTTGCATAAAGCCAAATGAATGATCATTACGTATTTTGGTAAAAATTATTATAATTCAATTAATATATTCTATTTTATACTCAAAAGTCGATAATATTTAATTTTTATTATTTAGGTATATAATGATAGTGCGAATTAAGGTTAAATATTATGAGGGGGGGAGAGGTGAGTATGGTAATCGTGTGTGGATGTCTGCTCTGCTCGGGCTCTCAATCTCCACTCCAACTTTTATTTGGCTGATTATTTTTGTGTTTTCTTGCAGAGCACTGAGGCCTCACCACTACCTGGGTAGCCAAACATTTCCTTCTGAGTTTTCTAGGTAGCCGCAAGAGGACATGGGCGTGGATGGCAAAACCTTTTACAAGGATTGGACAAATTGGCTTTGGTTTGTAGCAGTTGTGGGAGGCGTTGTTGAACTCCGCGCTCTATATTGGGTGGGTTTTTTATAAGTAATAATCTCACTGATGGGGGAAGGGGAGACTTGATGAAGGTCAGTAGCTCTTGTTCCTAATGAGTTGTAGCTACCCCTTCTTCCTTGGGGAACAAACTTGATTATCATACCCCCCCTCCCCCCAGAACCCTCCAAAGGACCCAATGGAAAAAAAAAAAAAAAAAAATATGTCCATTTTGTTGGAATTTCATTTAAGCTATTCTTCCGAAGAGAAGGTTCCTTGATGTGCTCGCTTTCTGAAGGGCTCTTGTGATCCAAGGAATTAGACCTTTGGAAGCCATCCTTTTCAAAGACCTCAAACCTACTCACTGTTACAAAAAAAAATATTCACTTGTAACTACTGTGCCACCAACATTTACAGAATCAATTTCTAATATAAAATCCGACCTGAAGTTCTTCTTCCCCGCGTCTTGACATTGTTAATAGGAACATGGACACAATCCTAGGCACACAAAAAATCCTGAGTTCCTGTGTCAGGCTAAAAAAAAAATTGCTTTTTTGTTCAAAAAACTCAATGTACATAAATGACCCAAAATCTGTAAGTCTCGGCCAGAAGTCCTGAAGTCTCCAGAACCACTGTCTCCGGCTAGCATTTTTTTTAAAACTACAGTTAGGGGAAAAACACCTTATCACATCCCAGCCCCATCATAAATACATTGTTTAAATTGTATTGTGCATTTTCTCAATATCAAGAATTTATTTAAAACATTGTAATCAATAGATATTACTCACAATTTCTTTAATCTATCAAATGGAAACATCTTCCATTGTGACCACCTTAGGTTAATAATCAAAACCATAATTCTTGTCTACAAAACTAATAGAATATTCAGTTTTCATGTATTCATTGTAACTCACCTACCTGGAGTTTACCTGGAGAGAGTTTCAGGGTTTGGGTCAATGCCCCCGCGGCCCGGTCTGTGACCAGGCCTTCCTGGTGGATCAGCGCCTGATCAACCAGGCTGTTGCTGCTGGCTGCACGCAAACCAACGTACGAGCCACAGCCCGGCTGATCAGGAACTGACTTTAGGTGCTTGTCCAGTGCCAGCTTGAAGACTGCCAGGGGTCTGTTGGTAATCCCCCTTATGTGTGCTGGGAGGCAGTTGAACAGGTTTCTCGGGCCCCTGACCATGAACTTATTAGTATGGTCTCTTAACGTGCTAGTGACACCCCTGCTTTTCTTGGGGGGATGGGGCATCGTTTTTCTGCCAAGGGTCTTTTGCTTTGTAGTGATGTGGATGTTCGTGTGCAAGTTCGATACTGTCCCTCTAGGAATTTTCCAGTGGTATATAATCATGTTCTTTCCCTCCTGCGGCGTTCCAGGGAATACAGGGTTTTAGATACCTCAAGCGTCCCGTAATTGTGTGTTTTATCAATCGTTTTAATGCGCGCCGTTTTCTGTAAAGAACGTTTCTCTGTACATTTTCTAGGTCGGCAATTTCACCTGCCTTGAACAGGTGCTGTTAAGAGTGCAGCATTATTCCAGCCTAGATTAAGAACATGTGTACCTGAAAGAGTTCATCATGGGCTCGGCACCCCCCCGGGCCGCCCTAGTTTTGAAGAGGTTCTCATTATCCATCCTGTCATTTTTCTAGCAGATGCGATGATACAATGTAATGGTTGTCCTTTGATGGTGGATCCTCGACATAATCACTCCCAGGTCTTTTGACGTTTGGTGTTTCGCTCTTTTTGTGGCCTAGGAATTTGATTTTGTACTAGTGATGTGATTTATTTTTCGTTGTTTACCATATCTGGTAATTGAAATGTCTCATCCGTTGAACTTCATAATTGTTTGTTTCTGCAGCCCACTGTAAAGTATTTGGTTGGTGTCCTCCTGGAGCCTTGCGTTGTTGCAATGGAGACACTGTTCATGCAGATTCGGGGGTGTCATTAGCAAAGGGAAAGACACGGTTGCTGTGGCTGTCAATCCTTGTTCTATGTCGGTTAGGAGGATGAGGAAGGAACAAGCTGGGGATGCTAGTACTGTGCCTTGTGGAACAGAGCTTTTCACGTAGCTTGCTCGGACCTTTTTTCTGTTGACGACTACTCTCTTGTGTTTCTGTTGTGAGGAGGAAATTTATAGAATCCAACGACCACCGACATTTCCTGTTATTCCTTTAGCGCGCATTTTGATGCGCTTTTACGCACATGGTCACACTTGTCGAAGGCTTTTGCAAGTTGTATATATTACATCTGCATTTCTTTTTGTCTTTCTTGTGCATTTAGGTACCTTGTCGTAGTGATCCAGTAGTGAGCAGACAGGGAGCGACTCGTTGAAACCCCCCCCATGTTGCCCTGGGTTTGTGTTGTAACTAATGACCATATGTATAATTTACTGCACTGTTATTGCCTTATTAAGCTTAAGTTTAGGTCTTAAGTTTGCCCAAAATATGTTTGCATATAAAGGGACTTTTGGCATGTACAACCAGTCGTAATACTCTTTGTAAAAACATGCATATGTGGTCAGTCGTCCACGTGAAGGGTCTCAGACCCTGAGCTGCTTTGGGGAAATTAGCGTTGGACGGATACAAGCTTGGCTGCTTCTGCAGTGTTTTAAAAAACTGAGGTTGGGAGAGTGGAAGGAGGGAGGTCTTGCTTCTCCAGAGAGGGGGTTAGGAGGGCTGGGAAGGTCCACCTCAATGGGTCTGGGAGAGAGTGTGAGGTGGCTGGAGTATGTTGTGGGGGGAAGAGGAAATGAGACTTCTAGCAGTGAGGGTTTGCAGTCTGTCTCTCGACTTGGTGAGGTGGGCTTAGTTGGGAGAGTGGGTTGCAACCAGCTACCAGCTGTGAGTTGCAGCCCAGCACTGCTGCCAAGTGGCGAGTTGTTCACAGTATGAGGAGGCGCATCAGAGTAAGGAAAGTTTAAAACGTGTGAAGATCTGAGGGTAGGAAATCGCTTCTCTGTTCTCCGATGAATGTACTTCAGTGGCAGTGATGGTTAAGGGTACTACTGCCCCTGCAAATAAGGTAAGCGCATTCTTGTGGTTGGTGACTCTCAGGTAAGATATATTGAACCGGTGTTGCTTTTTGTTTTTTGTGACTAGGAATAAGAAGAGATGAGAGATAGAGTGTGCTTCAGTGGAGTGGTTGTTGGGGACATTGTCAAAAGCTGGTATAATTTCTGTCAGGTAAAGGAACAAGCCATTATCTGGGTTCAGTGCTGGTGGAATTGATATTGGGAAGGGTTAGGAAGGATGAGGAGGGAGAAGTGTGCTAGATAAGTACAGGGTCAGCTCTATAGATTTCATTAAGTCTAAGGGAGGGATCCCAATATCATATGTAGCATCTTGCCTAGGAAGGGAGTAGGTAATGAATGGTTGTCTAGGGCAATTGTGGTTTTGTAAATTGCTGGCTACAGATACTGAATGGAAAATTGCAATCCCTTTCATTGACAAACGGGAAACAACTTTTTTGGCATACATGATATGTATTGCAAGGGATGGGTTTGCTCGGTTACATTCTCTGGAGGCAGGGGGGTGGTGCACTTGCAGACTCGATTGAGAAGGCAGTGGTGATATGCCTATGATTTTAAATAGGAAGATAGAGGTATGGGTGTTGTTCTGTTGTGAGTGTGTGGGGAAACAAGCGGTTTGCAACATAGGGTTGGAATACTGTAAATGTTTAAAGGCATTCAGCATGAAGGTTATTAAATAAAGACAAATAGAACTGGTCACTAACAATGGGGCGGCAGAGCCAGAGGGCAGCAAGGGACTAGCTCCACTTAAGGTTTTACTTATAATAGCAGGGAGTGATTAAGAAATTAAGATAGAATAGATGAGCTAAAGATTATTTGCAAGTGCAGGAAAAATAGATAATTCATTGCTATAACTGGAGACCTGGCTCAAATCTGAAAAGATTGAGAGATGCCCTCTGAATGTCACATACAGGCTATAAATCCGATTCCACTCTGACAGAGGGGTCAACAGGAAAGGTGGTGGCGTAGCGTGTAATGTCAGAGGGCAGAGACAATTTAAATTGTTGTGTAAGACAAGTTATTAAATTTGGAAGCGTCTTGCGCCACTGAATTGTTTGGTTACAGTTCTCGAGGGACCTGAGAGGGGAGAGGAAAAAACTAATTTTTTGGGTTTCGTGATTTACAGGGACCCAACTCTTGGATAGGGAGTGCAGTAAATCTATGGGACGAAATTCGTAAGGCATCTACATACGAAAATGTTGTGCTAAGGGGATTTCAACTATAGACAGATTGACTGGAGCAATTTGACAGGAAATTTTGCGTCGGGTGATTTCTTGGATACGATCCAGGATTGTTTTTTTTAAAACAGTTTGTGACGGAGCCAACTAGAGGGAATAACCCTCCTGGACTTGGTTTCTTGCCCAGTAGGGGGGGAAACATAATTAATAATCTTGTGTTTAATGATGAGTCTGGGGGTGTGTTCACAAATCATCCTGTTCTTAATATATCTGGATTCCCCTATATAATGGCAAAATCAAGTCTACGTCCCGGACTTTCGCTTGGCTGATTTCATAGGTCTACTGAAAATTTCTTTGGTGGGCCCTGAAACTGAATGACCTGGTCTAAGGGTCAGGTAGGTGGTGATGGTTGCCCGATATGATGCTTTTCCGGGCATAGTTTAGCTGCTCAGTCAAATTTTGTTCCAAATTAGGGAAATCAGAATCAAACAAAACTGATCTAGAATGGATGAAACAATAGATTAAAAATATTGACTTGGTCAAAAGGAAGAGGCATATATAGGCAAATCAAAAGTGGGAGAGGTGGGCGCCAATTAAAGAAATCGTATATTAAGTTAAAGAAGAGAAATAAAACAAGGGAATTAGAAAAGCGGAAAGAAAAAAATGTGATTATGAGGTTAAAGTTGCAAGGAGAATTCGAAGGACTCACCCAAAAGGAATTCTTTTTCAGGGATACAGAAAGTAAGAATCAGGGGAATAAATGCCCTCAAAAGTTCTCGGGTCAGCTCACTGACATGGAATAAGGAAATGTGTAGAATTTTTAAACATACTTCACCCCTCTAGTTTTTACACAGGAGGATCCCAGCGAAATATAACTGTTAATGGATAAATTAGTAGGAACAGGACGATAATAAACCTGTGAACTATTAGGGTCACAAGTGACATGGTCCTTAGGCAAATAGATAAATTGAAACATGGTCTAACAAATCCCCTGGCCATGATGAACTGTATGCAAGGGTTCTAAAGGAATGTTGTAAAGTGGAGCTTAGCACTCCTTTGGCTATCTTTTCAACATTCACGAACCAAACTGGGGCATGGTGCCAGATAAGTGGGGGGAAGAGGAAAATGGGCAAATGTAGAGACACTATTTTTCAAAACAGGTGACAGGTCCTTAGCTTCGACTATAGACCAATAAGCCTAACCTCCATTGTGGGGGAAAATTTATGGAATCATAGTTAATTGCCGAGGCAGTTCGTAGCTCACCTTGGAAAAAGCATAAATTAATCAACGTATTCAGCATGGTTATACAAAGGGCGTTCCTGCCTTACGAATTTATTAACTTTTTCTCACTAAGGTATTTGAGGATTTTGGGAGAGGTAGATTCATGGTAATGAATATGATATTGTGTATATGGACTTCAGTATTAAGGCTTTTGCACAGGGGGTCCACATAGGAGAGCTATTGTAGGGAAAATTAAAAGCACATGGACTAGGAGGAGAAATTTTTCTGGGTAGGAGGCACCATGGTTGACCTAATAGGCAGCAGTGTGTTTGCAATAAATGGGGAGAGAAAATCAGGAGTGCGGGGAAGGCGTCACGAGCGGTGTTCCCTGGGGTCAGGTGTTGGGCCACTGCTGGTCAGCAATCTACTTAAACGACCATAGGATGAGGGCATAAAGAGCGACATCGGCACGTATGCCGATGAACCAAAATAGGCCGTCGATCATTCTGACGAGGACTTTCGAGCACTCCAGGAAGATTTGATAATAGACTGATGAGTGTCGGAGAGAAGTGGGCAGGCAGATGCAGTTTAAATAGACAAATGCAAAGTCTAAAATTGTTGGACAGGACAATATCCATGCCACATATAAACTAAATAATGTAAGATCTTAATATTAGGAATTGCGGAAGAAAATAAAGATTTAGGGAGTTCTGGTTAGCGTTAATCTGAAAACCAAGACAACAGTGCATAAGTTTGTTCGCAATAAAGCTAATAGGAATCCTTGGCTTCTTATAACTAGAAGGCATAAAATAATAGGGTCCCAGGTTTTTCTTCAACTCTATACTTTCCTTGGTTTAGGCCTCATTTAGATTTATGCTGCACAGTTTTGGTCACGTTTATTTTTACAGAATGGATATAAATTCTCTGGAAAATATGTACAAAGGAGGATGACAAGTTGATCCAGGTAATCAGAAACCTTCCCTAGAGGGATAGGCCTAGGGCCCTGAAACTGCACTCTCTAGAAAGACGTTAGATTAGGGGGGGGATATGATTGAGGTTGTATAAAGGAAGACAGGAATAAATAAAGGGGGATTGTAAAATGCGTGCTGAAAAATACTAGCCCTAGACAGGACTCGCAGCAATGGTTTTAAAAGTTGGAAAAATTCAGATCGGAGGATATAGGAAAAAGTACTGGGTTTTTGGTAATAGAGTTGTGGATGATTGGGAACAAAACTTCCCCATGTACGTTTTTATAGAGGCCCAGAAGGTGTGTAGCTTTAAAATATTAGGTTGGGATAAATCATGAGTAGATGTGGGTGGTGGTTGTTAGATCCGATTGCTTTGTGACTACCAGGGCGGTTGCCGTTTGTTCCCTCCCTTAAGTATGTGGATGACCTGACTAGGTTGGGTGCATTGGCTTTAAAGCGGTAGGAGAGCTTGGGACCTGGCCTCGCATGGGCCAGTAGGCTTCTGCAGTGTTCCATCGTTCTTATTTCTTATGTTCTTATGCTAAAAGAAGTCTTCATCAGTTCATCATCATTCATCATCATTAGTTCCCATTCTCATCAGGTTGTGTATGATCCCAAAACATGAATATTATTGGTAAATTGCCATATTTTATTTTTACAGTTGATGCAGGACCACCGAGCTGTCATCTTTTGTTAGGTTTGCACTGGAGGGTTATGGAACAGTTATTGTTGAGGGTACTCACTTCTTAATCCCCTGGGATACAACGACAGTTTATTTGATGCTAGGACTCGGACCAGGATATGTCCCTGGTGTAACATGGACAGGTAAAGGTTCGCGTTTAGATGATTTTACAGAAAGTGAGATAATAATTAACATGAAAATATAGTAGGTTCTCAGTGGTTTACCTGATCTCAAATTAAAGTTTCCATATTTTGGGCTAGATGGAGGTTTTGTGTGCAAGAGGGCTAGGACTTCCAGCAATCCATGCGTGAGCATGTTAGATAGCGAATGGAGACCAAATGGTTTTTAATACTTGATGTGTGTTGGAGTGGTAAGCAAGGTTACATTTATGAAGGGCATTCAGGGATGCGGCAGGCCGGACTCTGATTCCTGGAGATGAGAAAGTACAGTGCCAGCACTCTGAAAGGAGGGGTGGGTGTTAATGTTGCAGGTTTTATAACGGTAGTGTAAGCATTGCCTTCTGCAAGGAACTGATGAGTGAATGATGATTTAAGTTGTTTTTTTTTCTGGCCACCCTGCTTTGGTGGGGGGAAAAAACACACGTTGTGTTAATAAAAAAAAATAAAACTATCCCATTGCGGTAGGTATTACATAATGTGTTTTTACTTTTGCATCCTCGCTGCAGTAACCTATTCTTGTTTAGTCCATGTTGCAGGTAACCTTCATTTTGGCCAAGTGTAATGTTGTTTTTAGCTAAAATATGATATAATTGGAGAAGCTCATTCAAAGGACAATCTTCTCCCCATTAACCCTTTAAATATTGTAGTAGCTTGCCCCAGATTAGGCAAGAGGTAGCGATCCATGGAGGGATACAGCGCCGTCTTTCTAGTTAGTGTGATTCAGATGAAGTGAGTAAAACTTGTTGTCTGTCATTCTTTTTGTTGTAGCATTGTATCTGTGTGGACCATAGCTAAGTTCTGTTTCATCATTCCAGTATTAGTTTTTGCATAATTCCAATTGAGTCACAATGGGAAATCGGGTGTATTGAAAGTTAAAAACGAAAGGCCATACTTTTGACACCATCATGGATAAAATAATTTTATTGCCCTGATTGATGCTGGTGAGTCACTGTTTTGCTTTTTTAACCCTTTGAATGTTTTCTCGACGTATTATAAATACGTCTTACGAGCCACTTGGTGCTGAAGTTATATATTACTCAATAATGACTAGCGGCTTCAAATCAAGTGGGAGAAGAGGAAGGGAAAGAAAGGAAAAATGGTGGTAGGCCCACATGTGAGAGAATGGGTTCTTTGTGGTCAGGTGTGCACCCCATAAAAATAAAATCCTGAGCTCACATTGCGTAATGAGAAAAAAAAAAAAAAAAATAAAATGCTGATCGTTTTTTTGGAATACAACGCCGAACTTTGCTGAGGTGTATTTTCGTTATGTATTTATCGTTTTTTGGTATTCGCGTTTTTCATGGTCTCTTAGGTGATAAAATGGAAAACATATTACAGAAATAGAGATGATTTTCATTACTTTTACGATGAAAACGACCTTGAAACTGAGCTCAAAGTAGCGGAAATGTTCAATTTTTACCAATGTTCAAGAGTAAATAAATCACACCACATGTCCAATACACGTCAACTGGGGAGTCTAATATTCTTTCACTAGTGCACTGATATTATTTATACCATTTTTACAATAATGCAGTCGTCTGCATAACAGTAAATTTTGTATTTTTTTGTATGAATAAAAAATCAAAATAGAAAGCAATAATAATATAAGAGGGGCCTAGAGATGTGACTAACGAACAGAGCATATGTTATTTTAGTGCCACGAATGTCTACCTTGTTTATTCTGGACCCTATTTTGAAATTGGCATCTTTTTTATTTTGCGTGAAATTGGCCAAATTGCCAATTTCTGACCACCATATTGGGTAGTCCAAATTAGTAAATGGGAGGTTTCTTGTACTCAGCTGATAGATAAAATGGAGTTCTAAAGAAATAGCTATGAGTTTGGTCAACTGGAACAATGGAATTGGCGGAAAATTGGGCTCAAAGTCGGCGAAATCGCCGATACGCATATGTCGCCGAGACCGCTAACTTCGCGGGAGCATAATTCCACGAGTTTTTGACCAAATTTCGAACTTTTGGTGTCATTACCATCGGGAAAAGATTCTCTATCATTTCATAAGAAAAAATAATTTTTTTTTTTTCAAAAATTGAGCGACATAGAATGACAGTTTCAGAGAGGGGCCTGAAACAGTCAAAGGGTTAAGTGTAGTAATTTATATAGGAGAAGGGGTTACTAGCCCCTTGCTACCAGCATTTCAGTCGCCCCTTACGACACACATTATTTACGGAGGAAGAATTTTTTTCCACTTACCCATGGAGATAATAGGAAATAAAGAAGAACAAGAACTACTTAAAATATAGAAGAAAACCCAGATGCATTTATAGTGGAAAAAATGACTTTTTGCTTTATGACAATTTCTGCCATATCCTGGAACCTAACCTGCCATATAAGTGTGGCCATACTGTACCTAATTTTGAGGCTTCTATTAAAAGAATTAAAAGAAAGCTTAATATTTAGGTATGGATAGCCTCTGGGTAGGAGATTTGACTTAGAAAGATTGAAATGTTAAAAATTTGCTGGATTTTGAGGCATTTTTTCACATTTAAATTTTTAAGTACAATATGTATATAAATAGAGCAAGGGGCCAGTAACCCCTTCTCCTGTATAAATTACTGAATGTAGAAAGAAAAACTTAAGAGTTTTTCGTTTTAGGTCACCCTGCCTCAGTGGGAAATAGCTGGTGTGTTAAAAAATGTATATAAATAACAAAAATGTTATGTTCTGTAACATAAATTATTGAGGTTTACTGCTTCATGACAATAAGATATTGCTCAGTTTTTTTATTGCAGTGATAGAAGCAGCTGATGCTGCGTATAAGGATGTTTTGAACAAATCATAGAGTAGATAAATTTAATGTGAAAGGACTTAAAGTTTTTCTTTTGCAACAGATTTGCAAACTGTGAACATCACGTTACGAGTACTTTTCCATCCAATGAGTCAAGAACTTCCCAGGATCTTCACAACTCTAGGCATTGATTATGAGGATCGTGTCCTCCCTTCTATCACAAATGAAGTACTTAAAGCTGTTGTGGTATGTATGTACGTTTTTTCTCCACTTCAGATTCAATAAATACAGACGTAGGTTGAAGATTGCTTCTTTACAAGATTCAGCGAAAAAATGAAATTTGGAGGTGATGTGGGGTTGTTGAGGTGGTTTGGTCATTTGGAGAGAATGGAACAAAGTAGAATGACTAGGAGAGCGTATAAATCTGTAGGGGAAGGAAGGCGGGGTAGGGGTGTCCTCGAAAAGGTTGGAGGTAGGGGGTAAAGGAGGTTCTGTGGGCGAGGGACTTGGACTTCCAGCAAGTGTGCATAAGTATATTAGATAGGAGTGAATGGAGACAAATGGTTTTAGGGACCTGACGAGCTATTTGAGTGTGGGCAGGGCAATATTTTGTGAAGGGATTCAGGGAAATTGGTTATTTTTATATAGCCAGACTTGAGTACTGGAAATGGGAAGTACAATGCTTGCACATTACAGGAGAGGTTTGGGATATTGGCAGTTTGGAGGGACATCTAAACTGTTGTATCTGAGTGCCTCTGCAAAAACAGTGATAATGTATGAGTGATGGTGAAAGTCTTGAATGATGAAAGCTTTTTCTTTCTTTTTGAGTCACCCTGCCTCGGTGGGAAACGGCCGACATGTTAAAAAATGGATAGTCATAAATCTTTTAAACATTTTGTGTATGGCACAGTACAATGAGAGGAAAACAGGAGAAAGAGAAAAGGGGACTTTTGGCTTTAAAGGTAAAAATTATAATAAGATATATTGCAATAAGTGATTGGGGATCCCCTCTATCATCTTAATGAGAGTGAATCATATTATGTGAAGCTTTCCTAATATTCAGTGACTTCTGATTGAGATAAGCTAATAAAAGTCTTGTTTTCACAGGCTCAGTATGATGCTGGAGAACTCATCACCCATCGAGAAAAAGTTTCACGCAATGTCAGTGAACAGCTTACAGAACGTTCAGCCCAATTTGGATTAATCCTTGATGATATATCTATTGTGAGTGAAAAGTAACTAATATATATGTACTCAGTGTGAAATGGCCGATGTTTTAAAAAAATGTATATATGTATAAATGGGCATTAGGGAGGCACATGCAAGAACCCTGTGCCTGCTTTAATTCACTTTTATTATCCAGTTTTATTTGTTATAGAGTATATTTTTAAAACAAAATTTTCTCTATATTGCATACAAATTCTGTATTGGTTAATTACTTTCATTCTAAATAAGTGTTTTAAGTAGACTGAGCCTAAACCATGTGTTGTTTTGAATAACCCATGTGGTTGTAGCTCTTCACATAATATAATATTTTCATACTTCTTTAGTTATCACTCCATTTTCTTTGGTTAGTGTTTTTAATTGTAAGTTATTAATGTGGAAAAATAATAAAATTTATCTTTGCTGCAGACTCATCTGACCTTCGGCAAGGAATTTACTCAAGCTGTTGAGCTTAAGCAGGTGGCTCAGCAGGAAGCAGAGAGAGCAAAATTCTTAGTAGAAAAGGTTTGTGGTGATTCCTATTTGAATGGACATAGTTGATATCTCTGAAGAAGAATACATTACTGTACTTATTAAAAAAACATGTACAAAATATGTTGCATTTGACAAAACATTAACCAAGAAAAATTATCTTTATAATTTGACCTTCAGAATTGTAAATATTAAGAATATAGTTCTTGACCAGTTGTCTTTCTTTTTGTATGTTAATTATTATTTTATAAATTTTAAAGAAAAAATCTAATACTGTATTACAAATATATAAATTTTGCCATATATCCCTTCGGTTTCAGCAGTCTTAACCCTTTCAGTGTCGGTTCCATAATATTACAGCTTAAGAGACATTGTTGGTCCCGTAATTATTATTATTAACACACTGGCCGATTCCCACCAAGGCAGGGTGGCCCGAAAAAGAAAAACTTTCACCATCATTCACTCCATCACTTTCTTGCCAGAGGGGTGCTTTACACTACAGTTTATAAAACTGGAACATTAACACCCCTCCTTCAGAGTGCAGGCACTGTACTTCCCATCTCCAGGACTCAAGTCCAGCCTGCCGGTTTCCCTGAATCCCTTCATAAATGTTACTTTGCTCACGCTCCAACAGCACGTCAAGTATTAAAAACCATTCGTCTCCATTCACTCCTATCAAACACGCTCACGCATGCTTGCTGGAAATCCAAGCCCCTCGCACACAAAACTTCCTTTACCCCCTCCCTCCAACCTTTCCCAGGCTGACCCCTACCCCACCTTCCTTCCACTACAGATTGATACACTCTTGAAGTAATTCTGTTTCGTTCCATTCTCTCTACATGTCCAAACCACCTCAACAACCCTTCCTCAGCCCTCTGGACAACAGTTTTGGCAATCCCGCACCTCTTCCTAACTTCCAAACTACGAATTCTCTGCATTATATTCACACCACACATGACATCTCCACTGCCTCCAGCCTGTTCCTTGCTGCAACATTCATCACCCATGCTTCGCACCCATATAAGAGCGTTGGTAAAACTATACTCTCATACATTCCCCTCTTTGCTTCCAAGGACAAAGTTCTTTGTCTCCACAGACTCCTAAGTGCACCGCTCACCCTTTTCCCCTCATCAATTCTATGATTCACCTCATCTTTCATAGACCCATCCGCTGACACGTCCACTCCCAAATATCGGAATACATTCACCTCCTCCATACTCTCTCCCTCCAATCTGATATCGAATCTTTCATCACCTAATCTTTTTGTTATCCTCATAACCTTACTTTTTCCTGTATTCACTTTTAATTTTTTTCTTTTGCACACCCTACCAAATTCATCCACCAACCTCTGCAACTTCTCTTCAGAATCTCCCAAGAGCACAGTGTCATCAGCAAAAAGCAACTGTGACAACTCCCACTTTATGTGTGATTCTTTATCTTTTAACTCCACGCCTCTTGCCAAGACCCTCGCATTTACTTTCTCTTACAACCCCATCTATAAATATATTGAACAACCACGGTGACATCACACATCTTTGTCTAAGGCCTGCTTTTACTGGGAAATAATCTCCCTCTTTCCTACATACTCTAACTTGAGCCTCACTATCCTCGTAAAATATTACGCCAAAATTCTAGCAGTTTCAGATATAGCAGGAGAAAGCTGGTAGGCCTGCATGTAAGAGAATGGATCTGCGTGGTCAGTGTGTGCAGCATAAAAAAAATCTTGGAGCCATTGGTGGGAACGCCATTTCAGTAGACCTTGTTTACCATGCCTCGCGGTAAGAAATACCCCACTCTCCGGCGAATTGCGACTTCTTTTTCCAAGTGACAGTTCAGACACAGTTGGAAGTGTTGGTGAAGATGAATTTCATGGTTTTGAGGAGTTTGTGACCGAAAGGAATGCCCAGGAAACCGGAAGGAAGAGATGAGAGGAAGGTAGATAGGTAGGTAAGAAGGAAGGTAGGAAGGAAGGTAGGTAGGAAGGAAGGTAGGTAGGAAGGAAGGAAAGAAGGAAGGAAGGAAAGAAGGAAGGAAGGAAGGATGACCCAGATGGCCATCAACCTAGGATAACCCAAAAAAGTCAGTGTCTGACATGTCTAACATGCTCACGCACGCTTGCTGTAAGTCCAAGTCCTACCCCGCCTTCCCTCCACTACAGATTTGTATACTCTTGAAGTCATTCTATTTTGTTCCATCCTCTCTACATGTCCAAAACAACCTCAACAACCCCTCCTCAGCCCTCTGGATAATAGTTTTGGTAATCCCACACCTCCTCCTAATCTCCAAACTGTGGATTCTTTGCATTATATTCACACCACACATTGCCCTCAGACATGACGTCTCTACTGCCTCCAGCCTTCTCCTTGTTGCAACATTCACAACTCATGCCTCACACCCATACATTCCCCTCTTTGATTTTATGGATAAAGTTCTTTGTCTCCACAAACTCCTCAGTTCGCCACTCGCCTTTTTCCCCTCGTCAATTCTATGATTCACCTCATGTTTGGGTGTTGGCAAGAGGTGTGGAGTTAAAAGATAAAGAATCTAACACAAAGTGGGAGTTGTCACAGTTGCCCTTTGCTGATGACACTGTGCTTTTGGGAGATCCTGAAGAGAAGTTGCAGAGGTTGGTTGATGAGTTTGGTAGGGAAGGAAATTAAAAGTGAATATAGGAAAGAGTAAGGTGATGAGGATAAAAAAAAATTAGGTAAGGGAAGATTGGATATCAGATTAGAGGGCGAGAGTATGGAGGAGGTGAATTTTTTTTTTTTTTTTTTCCACAAGTCGGCCGTCTCCCACCGAGGCAGGGTGACCCAGAAAAGAAAGAAAATCCCCAAAAAGAAAATACTTTCATCATCATTCAACACTTTCACCACACTCACACATTATCACTGTTTTTGCAGAGGTGCTCAGAATACAACAGTTTAGAAGCATATACATATAAAGATACACAACATATCCCTCCAAACTGCCAATATCCCAAACCCCTCCTTTAAAGTGCAGGCATTGTACTTCCCATTTCCAGGACTCAAGTCCGACTATATGAAAATAACCGGTTTCCCTGAATCCCTTCGCTAAATATTACCCTGCTCACACTCCAACAGATCGTCAGGTCCCAAGTACCATTCGTCTCCATTCACTCCTATCTAGCACGCTCACTCACGCTTGCTGGAAGTCCAAGCCCCTCGCCCACAAAACCTCCTTTACCCCCTCTCTCCAACCCTTTCAAGGACGACCCCTACCCCTCCTTCCTTACCCTATAGATTTATATGCTTTCCATGTCATTCTACTTTGATCCATTCTCTCTAAATGGCCAAACCACCTCAACAACCCCTCTTCTGCCCTCTGACTAATGCTTTTATTAACTCCACACCTTCTCCTAATTTCCACACTCCGAATTTTCTGCATAATATTTACACCACACATTGCCCTTAGACAGGACATCTCCACTGCCTCCAACCGTCTCCTCGCTGCTGCATTTACCACCCAAGCTTCACATCCATATAAGAGTGTTGGTACTACTATACTTTCATACATTCCCTTCTTTGCCTCCATAGATAACGTTTTTTGACTCCACATATACCTCAACGCACCACTCACCTTTTTTCCCTCGTCAATTCTATGATTAACCTCATCCTTCATAAATCCATCCGCCGACACGTCATCTCCCAAGTATCTGAAAACATTCACTTCTTCCATACTCCTCCCCAATTTGATATTCAATTTTTCTTTATCTAAATCGTTTGATACCCTCATCACCTTACTCTTTTCTATGTTCACTTTCAACTTTCTACCTTTACACACACTCCTAAACTCATCCACTAACCTTTGCAATTTTTCTTTAGAATCACCCATAAGCACAGTATCATCAGCAAAAAGTAACTGTGCCAATTCCCATTTTTAATTCCCCATAATTTAATCCCACCCCTCTCCCGAACACCTTAGCATTTACTTCTTTTACAACCCCATCTATAAATATATTAAACAACCATGGTGACATTACACATCCCTGTCTAAGACCTACTTTTACCGGGAAGTATTCTCCCTGTCTTCTACACAACCTAACCTGAGCCTCACTATCCTTATAAAAACTCTTAACAGCAGATATTTGGGAGTGGACATGTCAGTAGATGGGTCTATGAAGAATTATTGTAATAATTGTATAAATAATGTCAGCGCATTCCCTAACACGTATTAGACCGACCAGTTGGATGTGTATTGGATGAGTGACATAATTTGTGTACTCTGGAATATTGGCAAAAATTGAACATTTCCTTTAGTTTGAGCTCAGTTTCAAGCTACTTTCAGTCCTAAAACGAATAAAAATGATCTCTTTTTCTGTAATGTATTTTTCCATTCTGTCAAATGAGACCAAGAAACCGAGAATACAACCATAAAAACCATGCGAAAATGCACTGCAGAGTCTATTTTAAACCAAAAACCATCATGCACTGTGCGCTGTAGGATTTTTTTTATATGGTGCACACTTACCATATAGACCCATTCTCTCTTATCTAAGCTCAAATTTCCTACCCACAGCTTATCTGAAAGAGCTGAGTTCATCACATAGTACAGCAGCACCAACTCACACTTCAAAGCATTAGTACTACAGCACCCACCCTCAAAGGGTTAAAGGATAGTTAAGAGTTGTGATTCTTAAGTACAGTGGTACCTCGAATTTCGAACAGCTCCCAACTCGAACAATTATGTAAGTGTATTTTTGGGGGTCTGACACGGACTAATCTAATTTACATTATTCCTTATGGGAACAAATTTGTTTGGTAATGGCACTCGAACAGCCTTCTGGAACGAATTAAGGCCGAAATTCGAGGTACAGTGGACCCTCGTTTTTCGTAATTATAATCCGTTCCAGAGAGTGTGACTGTTATCGAAATTGACGATTTGGGAATCCATTTTCCCCATTTTCCTGTAGGAGGGAGGGATTGGATTAGTTACTGTTTGGAAGGGGAATCCCCTGCCATCAAGACTTCAGGTACCAAGTGCTTTCCTGGGGTTACCTCCCTTCTTTGTTTTTTAATGCCACTAGGACCAGCTTGAGAGTCACTGCACACTTGTGGTCCCTTGCTGTTCCAGCTGAAGCTCTTGCAGTTCTGCAGTGGTTAGCTCTTCATTGTGGTCCTCCACCAACTCTTCCACATCCTCCAAGCTCACATCCAACCCCATGGAATTCCCCAATGCCATAATAGATTGCACAACTGCCATAGGCTCCTCAAGGTCAGCCCCAAACCCTTCAAAATCCCTCTTGTGGACACAATCTGGCCACAATTTTCTCCAAACAGAGTTCAAAGTCCTGGTAGTCACTCCCTCCCAAGACTTACCTCTAAGGCTTATGCAATGGAGGATACTAAAATGATCTTTCCAAAACTCTTAGGGTCAAGTGAGTGTCTGTGGTCACATTAAAGCACCTTTGAAACATTGCTTTAGTGTAGAGTTTTTTAAAGTTTGAAATGATCTGCTAGTCCATGGGCTGGAGGAGAGGAGTGCTATTAGGGGGCAAGAACTTCACTATGACGAACCCAAACTCCTCCAGAATTAGGTCATCCATGTTTGGAGGATGAGCAGGTGCATTGTCCTTTAGCAGGAGGCACTTGAGATCCAATTTCTTTTCCAGGAGGTAATTCTTCACTCTGGGGCCAAACACTTCGTGGAACCACTCGAGGAAAATTTCCCTCGTGACCCATGGCTTATTATTAGCTTTACAAAAAACAGTTTATTCTTCATGACCTTGTTTTTCTTGAACACTGGGATTTTCAGAATGGTACACTAGTAATGGCTTCACTTTGAAATCCCCACTAGCATTACTACAAAACATGAGAGTTAGCCTGTCTTTCATAGGCTTGTGTCCTGGCAGTGCCTTTTCCTCCTGAGTAATGTAGGTCCTGTTTGGCATTTTCTTCCAAAAGAGGCCTGTTTTGTCACAATTGAACACTTGTTGTGGTTTTAATTGTTCAGTCTGTATGTACTCCTTGAATTCACTTACAAATTTTGTAGCTGCATTTTTGTCAGAACTGGCAGCCTCCCCATGCCTTATCACACTGTGTATGCCACTACGGTTCTTAAATCTCTCAGACCAAACTTTGCTGGCCTTAAATTCACAAATATCAGTACTCGTTGTAGGCAATTTCTTTACGAGATCGTCAGGCAACTGCTTGCCTTTTCACAAATAAGTGGCTGCGTAAGACTCTCCTGCTAATTGTTTCTTGTTGATCCACACCAACAATAACTTCTTGCCATCTTCGAGTACTGGCTATCTCATTTTTGTCAGCACATTTACCCCCTTTGCAACAACAGCTTCCTTGATTTCCTTTTTCTTGGCCACAATGGCAGCTATGGTTGTATGGGGTTTCTTATACATCCTGGCCAGCTCTGCCACACGTATGCCACTTTCATATTGTTCAATGATGTTTTTCTTGAATTCAGTCATATTTCTCACCTTCTTTACCAAGGGCATGGCACTAGGAGCTTTCTTTGGAGCGATGGTAGTTTATTTAGCAGTTGCAAGCACTAAAATGAATGGAATATTATGAAATATTTCATATGAACATGTGAAGGGATGGTCACTCGCTGGTAAACAGTGGCACACTGGCTGGGAATGGAGTGTGAGGCGCCTTGGGGCCCTGCGTACGCATCCGAGATGAATGACTATTTGTGAGTCAAATGGCGATTCACGAGTCAATGTTTTGATGAAAAAAAGTTATGATTTCCGAAAATTATGACTTTTGAGCCTTACGAAAAACGAGGGTTCACTGTACCACTACATGTATATATAAAATTATAATTTAAATACACCTACCATCCGACTTAGGACCTGCTCGACTTACGACCACTCGACTTACGACTGTGTTTTTTTTTTTGCCAAATTTCTGGGAAATAAACAACTATTTGTGTTGTACACAGTGTTTATCCTAAACCTTACAGTATAAAATACAGTACTAACAGCATAAAAAGCAAAGTAAAACATGAAATACCAAAATAAAACAATAAAATAAAGTCATTACAAAAATGTGATGTTGATATTCAGTAGTAAAGTTCGACCTACGTCCATTTCGACTTACGACTAGTTTCTCGGAACCGAACTCGGTCGTAAGTTGGATGGTAGGTGTATTTATAAAGATTACAATTTGTAATTGAGTCTTTTGTCTGCTTTTATTTAACTGCTCTAGTTTGATAGTTCTTTACAGCCAATGTATAAGCAAACTTATGCTACTTTGAGCTCATTTTCAAGCTACTTTCAGTCGTGAAACCGATAAAAATCGCATAGTGTATCTTCCATTCTGCTGAATGAGACTAAGAAATCGAGAATATAGCCATAAAAACCATATGAAAATACACTGCGAAGTCGCTGTTTTAAACCAAAAACACGGTCACAGTTTGTTCCCTTCATGTATTGTGTGCTGTAGGAGTTTATTTAATTGATTTGCTTTTGTTTTTAGGCAGAGCAAGAAAAAAAGGCAGCAATTATTAGTGCTGATGGTGATGCTTCAGCTGCTACATTACTAGCCAAGTCATTTGGTGAGGCTGGAGAGGGTCTTGTGGAACTCAGGAGAATTGAAGCTGCTGAGGACATTGCTTACAGGTGAGGAATGAGGATTTTAGCTTGTTGAGATTTGAGTGAATTTTAGGCAAGAGTTAATAACTAAAGTTAAATTTGTTTTGTGACATTTTATATTAAGTTTTGGCTAGTTTCAATTATAATCTTTAAATTTTGTAAGTGCAGTTAGGTATGTAGTTTTTGTAATCCATAATGCAATAGGATTCCAAATTTCCAGTGCAATGAAAAGGAGGATAAATGTGATTTATGTTAATATTAATAGTAATAACAGTAATCTTGAACAGTAATATCATCCTTGCATTTTAGGTTGGCAAAGAATCGTAATGTGGCTTATCTACCAAGCAACCAGACCACCCTTTTGTCTCTTCCTCAGTGAGAATATTCTGAGATTTATGATATACCATAATGAAATCCAGAGTTCAGTGACGTATTGTGTGGTATAGGTATTGGAATCACAATAAAAGTCAAAGGAATTTGTGGAAGGATATTATTTGTCCTTGAATTTTCACATTGTAGTAGTTGCCATTATTACAGCAATTATTTTTTTATAGCTGCTTACTAGTAGTGGGAAAGGAGCAGCTTTTTGTTTGTTTTTCTTAGTTTTTCGAAAAGCACAATAAGCAGTTATTTGTTAGGTGGGAGAAAACAATATTCAACTGTTGAATTAATGCTCCCCAAGTATAAAGTTTTGTTTAAATGTAAAACAAGATTTCAGTAATTCTGTTATAATGTATCTTGTTAAGTGACTGTAGTTATTAAAGCTTGCATTCCACTTCTACTCTACTAATATGTTTCCAACAAAATTAACGAGAGTTTAGTAACAATTTAATTTACTTTTTAAGTGAAGGACTTGTAGCAGTTAAACATCATGTGGGCATTTAGGAAATTGTGCTAACCAGTAAAGACAGGTACTAACAATCTGTTATGTATAAAGAAATGTTCAAATTGTAATTACCATTTTGTAAAGAAAGTTAAATGATTATTTTTTTATTGTTTTCTTTCCCAGTGTCAGTGCTTTAAAGATTCTCTATGATGTGCAGAAGGTAGGTTCAACATAATTGCATTCAAACTAACTTAATGGATGATGGTGTTTATAAGAAGGCCATCATGAGGGTATAACCCCTTTATGGAAGTTCCTTTGTGCCAGTGAGGGGCTCTTGGTCCAATGAATTGAACTGGGCTTCCCTTCCTTGGAACGAACCAGATTGCCTCTCATTTTCTGAGACACTGTACGACTCCATTGGGTTTAGCACTCCTCATGACTAATATTAATTCTTACCGAGAATTTGTAATTTTGAGAGAAAGCATTTTATAAATTGCAAAATCATGGCTGAATGTACGATAAGAGAAAATGCATGTTTTGCTATGCATAGCAGCACTGTATAACCCATGTGGGTTTAGTGCTTAGTTATGATTATAATAATAATTTGCTGTGCATATAAGCACAAAACATGCCTATGAAAAATGTGCTAAGACCATATTGTATTAGTGAGAGATACAAGAAGTTTAAAGCAGGCCTGGTTCCACTGTGAAGATTATCAGTTTGTTCTGATAGTCAATAGCTCTTGAATGAGTGTCCCATTCATTGGAGAGAAGGGCAAATTCATTTCAGATGCTCTTTTTAACATTCTGATATGCTTACTTTGTCTACCCTCTTTTTCTTTCTGTAATTCTCAATATCTCTACCATTTCCTCTGCCATCTATTTCACTTCTCCCATGATTAATGCTGAATGATCTTTACAGGTCTAGTGCTTTTCTTGAATATAATATGAAATGTTCCTTGCACATTATGCTCACCTTCCACACTTCTGCCCTCCCACATCAGCCCTTGGTTGTGCACTGTTGAAGGACCCACATAGGAATTTCAGAATATAATACTGGACAACAATTTACAGTGTCGGCTTTGTGGCTATTATGTAGCCCCCTTATAGTTATTTGTTGTCTGTCCTTGCAATCCAAAATAAATATGGAAGATGCAGAGATAAAGGGTGGCATCTGCATCTATGCAATTTTGTGCATCTCTTCAAAGATTGTTGTAACACCCTTCATTATTCTAACCATGTTTGATCATCCACAGCACTACATTTGTTAATTTAGTGCAATTTTAGGAACAAGGAAAGTCAACTTCTCAAGGGCTCTTGATCTGTAAAATTGGAGCTGATACCCCTCAAATGAAACTCAGGATAGAGTATGTAGGAGAGAAGGAGATTATTTCCCAGTAAAAGTAGGCCTTAAACAAGGATGTGTGATGTCATCATGGTTGTTCAATATATTTATAGATGGAGTCGTAAGAGAAGTGAGTGCCCGGGTGTTGGCAAGAGGTGTGGGGTTAAAAGATAAAGAATCTAAGACAAAGCAGGAGTTGTCACAGTTGCTCTTTGCTGATGACACTGCTTTTGGGAGATTCTGAAGAGAAGTTGCAGAGGTTGGTGGATGAGTTTGGTAGGGTATGTAAAAGAAAATTGAAAGTAAATATAGGAAAGAGTAAGGTGATAAGGATAAAAAAATTAGGTGACCAAAGACTGGATATCGAATTGGAGGGAGAGAGTATGAAGGAGGTGAATGTATTCAGATATTTAGGAGTGGACATGTCAGCAGATGTGTCAATGAAAGATGAGGTGAATCATAGAACTGATGAGGTAGGTAGTAGGTTGGTAGACAGCAACCACCCAGGGAAGTACTACCGTCCTGCCAGATGACTGTGAAACAGAAACCTGTAACTGTTTTGCATGATGGTAGGACTGCTGGTGCCTTTTTCTGTCTCATAAACACGCTAGATAACAGGGATATCTTGCTACTCCAACTTACACTTTGGTCACACTTCACAGACATGCACATGCATATATATATATATATACATACATCTAGGTTTTTCTCCTTTTTCTACATAGCTCTTTTTCTTCTTTATTTCTTCTATTGTCCATGGGGAAGTGGAAAAGAATCTTTCCTCCGTAAGCCATGCGTGTCATATGAGGTGACTAAAATGCCGGGAGCAATGGGCTTGTAACCCCTTCTCCTGTAGACATTTACTAAAAAAGAGAAGAAGAAAAACTTTATAAAACTTGGATGCTTGAATGTGCGTGGATGTAGTGCAGATGACAAGAAACAGATGATTGCTGATGTTATGAATGAAAAGAAGTTGGATGTCCTGGCCCTAAGCGAAACAAAGCTGAAGGGGGTAGGGGAGTTTCGGTGGGGGAAATAAATGGGATTAAATCTGGAGTATCTGAGAGAGTTAGAGCAAAGGAAGGGGTAGCAGTAATGTTGAATGATCAGTTATGGAAGGAGAAAAGAGAATATGAATGTGTAAATGCAAGAATTATGTGGATTAAAGTAAAGGTTGGATGCGAGAAGTGGGTCATAATAAGCGTGTATGCACCTGGAGAAGAGAGGAATGCAGAGGAGAGAGAGATTTTGGGAGATGTTAAGTGAATGTATAGGAGCCTTTGAACCAAGTGAGAGAGTAATTGTGGTAGGGGACCTGAATGCTAAAGTAGGAGAAACTTTTAGAGAGGGTGTGGTAGATAAGTTTGGGGTGCCAGGTGTAAATGATAATGGGAGCCCTTTGATTGAACTTTGTATAGAAAGGGGTTTAGTTATAGGTAATACATATTTTAAGAAAAAAGGATAAATAAGTATACAAGATATGATGTAGGGCAAAATGACAGTAGTTTGTTGGATTATGTATTGGTAGATAAAAGACTGTTGAGTAGACTTCAGGATGTACATGTTTATAGAGGGGCCACAGATATATCAGATCACTTTCTAGTTGTAGCTACACTGAGAGTAAAAAGGTAGATGGGATACAAGGAGAATAGAAGCATAAGGGAAGAGAGAGGTGAAGGTTTATAAAGTAAAAGAGGAGGCAGTTAGGGAAAGATATAAACAGCTATTGGAGGATAGATGGGCTAATGAGAGCATAGGCAATGGGGTCGAAGAGGTATGGGGTAGGTTTAAAAATGTAGTGTTAGAGTGTTCAGCAGAAGTTTGTGGTTACAGGAAAGTGGGTGCGGGAGGGAAGAGGAGCGATTGGTGGAATGATGATTTAAAGAGAGTAGTAAGGGAGAAAAAGTTAGCATATGAGAAGTTTTTACAAAGTAGAAGTGATGCAAGGAGGGAAGAGTATATGGAGAAAAAGAGAGAGGTTAAGAGAGTGGTGAAGCAATGTAAAAAGAGAGCAAATGAGAGAGTGGGTGAGATGTTATCAACAAATTTTGTTGAAAATAGAGAAAAGTTTTGGAGTGAGATTAACAAGTTAAGGAAGCCTAGAGAACAAATGGATTTGTCAGTTAAAAATAGGAGAGGAGAGTTATTAAATGGAGAGTTAGAGGTATTGGGAAGATGGAGGGAATATTTTGAGGAATTGTTAAATGTTGATGAAGATAGGGAAGCTGTGATTTCGTGTATAGGGCAAGGAGGAATAACATCTTGTAGGAGTGAGGAAGAGCCAGTTGTGAGTGTGGGGGAAGTTCGTGAGGCAGTAGGTAAAATGAAAGGGGGTAAGGCAGCCGGGATTGATGGGATAAAGATAGAAATGTTAAAAGCAGGTGGGGATATAGTTTTGGAGTGGTTGGTGCAATTATTTAATAAATGCATGGAAGAGGGTAAGGTACCTAGGGATTGGCAGAGAGCATGCATAGTTCCTTTGTATAAAGGCAAAGGGGACAAAAGAGAGTGCAAAAATTATAGAGGGATAAGTCTGTTGAGTATACCTGGTAAAGCGTATGGTAGAGTTATTATTGAAAGAATTAAAAGTAAGACGGAGAATAGGATAGCAGATGAACAAGGAGGCTTTAGGAAAGGTAGGGGGTGTGTGGACCAGGTATTTACAGTGAAACATATAAGTGAACAGTATTTAGATAAGGCTAAAGAGGTCTTTGTGGCATTTATGGATTTGGAAAGGCGTATGACAGGGTGGATAGGGGGGCAATGTGGCAGATGTTGCAGGTGTATGGTGTAGGAGGTAGGTTACTGAAAGCAGTGAAGAGTTTTTACGAGGATAGTGAGGCTCAAGTTAGAGTACATAGGAAAGAGGGAAATTATTTCCCAGTAAAAGTAGGCCTTAGACAAGGATGTGTGATGTCACCGTGGTTGTTTAATATATTTATAGATGGGGTTGTAAGAGAAGTAAATGCGAAGGTCTTGACAAGAGGCGTGGAGTTAAAAGATAAAGAATCATACATAAAGTGGGAGTTGTCACAGTTGCTCTTTGCTGATGACACTGTGCTCTTGGGAGATTCTGAAGAGAAGTTGCAGAGATTGGTGGATGAATTTGGTAGGGTGTGCAAGAGAAGAAAATTAAAAGTGAATACAGGAAAGAGTAAGGTTATGAGGATAAAAACAGGTGATGAAAGATTGGATATCAGATTGGAGGGAGAGAGTATGGAGGAGGTGAATGTATTCAGATATTTGGGAGTGGACATGTCAGCGGATGGGTCTATGAAGGATGAGGTGAATCATAGAATTGATGAGGGGAAAAGGGTGAGTGGTGCACTTAGGAGTCTGTGGAGACAAAGAACTTTGTCCTTGGAGGTAAAGAGGGGAATGTATGAGAGTATAGTTTTACCAACACTCTTATATGGGTGTGAAGCATGGGTGATGAATGTTGCAGCGAGGAGAAGGCTGGAGGCAGTGGAGATGTCATGTCTGAGGGCAATGTGTGGTGTGAATATAATGCAGAGAATTCGTAGTTTGGAAGTTAGGAGGAGGTGCGGGATTACCAAAACTGTTGTCCAGAGGGCTGAGGAAGGGTTGTTGAGGTGGTTTGGACATGTAGAGAGAATGGAGCGAAACAGAATGACTTCAAGAGTGTATCAGTCTGTAGTGGAAGGAAGGCGGGGTAGGGGTCGGCCTAGGAAAGGTTGGAGGGAGGGGGTAAAGGAGGTTTTGTGTGAGGGGCTTGGATTTCCAGCAGGCGTGCGTGAGTGTGTTTGATAGGAGTGAATGGAGACGAATGGTTTTTAATACTTGACGTGCTGTTGGAGTGTGAGCAAAGTAACATTTATGAAGGGGTTCAGGGAAACCGGCAGGCCGGACTTGAGTCCTGGAGATGGGAAGTACAGTGCCTGCACTCTGAAGGAGGGGTGTTAATGCTGCAGTTTAAAAACTGTAGTGTAAAGCACCCTTCTGGCAAGACAGTGATGGAGTGAATGATGGTGAAAGTTTTTCTTTTTCGGGCCACCCTGCCTTGGTGGGAATTGGCCAGTGTGATAATAAATAAAAAAAAAATAATGAAAAAGGTGAGTGGTGCACTTAGGAGTCTGTGGAGACAAAGAACTGTATCCATAGAAGCAAAGAGGGGAATGTATGAGAATATAGTTATACCAACGCTCTTGTATGGGTGTGAAACTTGGGTCGTGAATGTTGCAACAAGGAGGAGGCTGGAGGCAGTGGAGATGGCATGTCTGAGAGCAATGTGTAGTGTGAATATAATGCAGAGAATTCGTAGTTTGGAAATTAAGAGGAGGTGCAGGATTACCAAAATTATTACCAGAGGGCTGAGGAGGGGTTGTTTAGGTGGTTCAGACATGTAGAGAGGATGGAGCAAAATAGAATGATTTATAGTGTGTATAAATCTGTAGTGGAGGGAAGGCAGGGTAGGGGTCGGCCTAGGAAAGGTTGGAGGGAGGGGGTAAAGGAGGTTTTGTGTGAGAGGGGCTTGGACTTCCAGCAAGCATGCATGAGCATGTTAAATAGGAGCGAATGGAGACAAATAGTTTTTAGGACTTGAAGTGCTGTTGGAGTGTGAGCAAGGTAACATTTATGAAGGGATTCAGGGGAAACCAACAGGCTGGACCTGTGTCCTGGAGGTAGGAAGTACAGTGTCTGCACTCTGAAGGAGGGGTGTTAATCTTGCAGTTTTATAACTGTAGTGTAAGTGCGCCTCAGGTAAGACAGTGATGGAGTGAATAATGAAAGTTTTTCTTTTTCGGGTCACCCTGCCTTGGTGGGAGACGGCCGATATGTTAATAATAAAAAAAAAAACTCAAAAATGGTTCCTTGGCGCTGGTGAGGGTCTCTTGATCTAGGGAAATGGATCTGTGCTCCAGTTCCCTGAATTGAGCCTGAATGCCTTCCAACCATCCTCACAGGCGCTGTAAAATCCTACGGGTTTAGCGCTTCCCATTATTATAATAATAATTAGAGCTGATTTTATCCCTTTTTTTCCTCAGATCAAAGCTGACTACCTCTGCTCTAGCTCCCCTCAAGGAAGGTTCCTTGATGTTGGTGAGGGGCTCTTGATTTAGGGAATTGGATCTGTGCTCCAGTTCCCCGAATTAAGCCTGAATGCCTTCCACATCCCCCCCCCAGGCGCTGTATAATCCTCCGGGTTTAGCGCTTCCCCTTGATTATAATAATAATAATCTGCTCTAGCTTTTTTTTAATTTATTACGACCTGTCCATCCTATATGCCTTGATGCTGGGGAATTTGAACCATGGAAGTGGCCTTACCCTCCCCTTCCTTGGATCACCTTGCCCTTCCCTTTCTTGGATCACCTTACACTACCCTTTCTTGGATCATCTTACCCTTCTCTTTCCTGGATCACCTTACCCTTCACTTTCTTGGATCATCGTACCCTTCCCTTCCCTTCCCTTCCCTTCCCTTCCCTTCCCTTCCCTTCCCTTGGTTCACCTAGCCCTTCCCTTTCTTGGATCATCTTACCCTTCCCTTCCTTGGATCAGACTTGACCATTGTGTGTTTGGTGACTAGTTATGATTATAATAATAATAACAATAATAGACTATTGCTTTAGATTCCCAGGAATTGTATGACACTTCTTTGCTCACAGGACGAGCATAGGGTTCACAATAAACTAGCCACTCAGGCGGTACAATTTAAAACCCAGGGATGCCAAGCCCATGATGACACTCTTCAGATCGCTACTTCTATCTAGGCTGGAATATTGCTGCACCCTAACAGAACCTTCACGGCACGCATAACTGAAATAAAACACCTCAATTACTGGGAATGCTGGAAGTTCCTACACCTGTACTCCCTAGAACGCAGGCGGGAGAGATACATGATTATATACACTTGGAGAATCGTAGAGGGATTAGTACCAAACTTGAACACGTAAATCACTCCCTACGAAAGCGAAAGACTAGGCAGACGATGCAACATCCCCCCAATGAAAAGCAGGGGTGCCACTAGCACGTTCAAAAAAACAAAATAAGTATTAGGGCCCAAGACTGTTCAACTGCCTCCCACCATACCAGCATACATAAGGGGGATTACCGATAGACCCCTGGCTGTCTTCAAGCAGGTACTGGACAGGCACCTGTCCAGTACCTGGACAGGTGCCAGCCCGGCTGGTCAGTACCTGACCAGCCGGGCTGTGGTTCGTATGTTGGAGTTGGATTGCGTGCGGCCAGCAGTAACAGCCTGGTTGATCAGGCCCTGATCCACCATGAGGCCTGGTCACAGACCGGGCCGCGGGGGCGTTGAACCCCGGAACGCTCTCCAGGTAAACTCCAGGTATATATGTAATAATAATAATAATAATAATAATAATAATACAAGTCCTCGTTTTAACACTTCATGCTAGTCATCCTGCATAAAATTGGACATTTTATTACACTGTGTCAACTTTTTCAAGGTCTCTCCCTTGAAGGGAGAGACCTTCAAGGGTTTGTGCTAAAAAACCCTGTTTAAATAATAATTTAGTTGGTTAGTGTATCTGTGGACAGCGATTATTGGTGAAGGAGGAGGTAGGTGGTTAGGTAGTGGTGGTGGTGGGTAAGGGAGGGAGATTTGGGTGGTGTCACTGTGGTAGTAGTAGGTGTGGGATGAGTGAGATGGGAATCAGTGGTGGTGAGGGAAGGGAGGGTAGGGATGTTACGTTGGTGGAGATGTGTGATGGAGGGTGTGTCACCCTGAAGCCTCACATCACCAGACAACGTCAGCCTGGCCGGGTGCATCTCTGTCCTTCAGTTCTAAAGTGTAAGTATTCTAACTTTTCTTCCTTTGAGGGAGAACGACTTCACGCCGTGCAAGAGTTCTTGAGTCAAGGAATTAGAGCTACTTTTCCTTGGATCAAACCTGATTACCTCCCATAACCCACATACTGTTAAGTGCCTGGGGCTTAGTTTACCAAGGTTTGCCTTGACAAGATAATCAATAGAAAAAGGTTCTTCTGTATTTTCAGTTTGTGCTAAATTCCCGAGAGAATTTTTTTTTTTTTTTTTTTTTTTTTTAAGATTCGCCGGTACACTCTTGGCCCGGGCCTTTTCTAAGTGGTGGCCCGGCCTTGGCTCTCTGTCTAGGGAGTGACTGAGACCTAAGTCTCCCATGGGAGGAGATACAAGTACCTGGAGTTTACCTGGAGAGAGTTCCGGGGGTCAACGCCCCCGCGGCCCGGTCTGTGACCAGGCCTCCTGGTGGATCAGAGCCTGATCAACCAGGCTGTTGCTGCTGGCTGCACGCAAACCACCCCTCAAGGAAGGTTCCTTGATGTTGGTGAGGGGCTCTTGATTTAGGGAATTGGATCTGTGCTCCAGTTCCCCGAATTAAGCCTGAATGCCTTCCACATCCCCCCCCCAGGCGCTGTATAATCCTCCGGGTTTAGCGCTTCCCCCTTGATTTTAATAATAATAATAATGCACGCAAACCAACGTACGAGCCACAGCCCGGCTGATCAGGAACTGACTTTAGGTGCTTGTCCAGTGCCAGCTTGAAGACTGCCAGGGGTCTGTTGGTAATCCCCCTTATGTGTGCTGGGAGGCAGTTGAACAGTCTCGGGCCCCTGACACTTATTGTATGGTCTCTTAACGTGCTAGTGACACCCCTGCTTTTCATTGGGGGGATGGTGCATCGTCTGCCAAGTCTTTTGCTTTCGTAGTGAGTGATTTTCGTGTGCAAGTTCGGTACTAGTCCCTCTAGGATTTTCCAGGTGTATATAATCATGTATCTCTCCCTCCTGCGTTCCAGGGAATACAGGTTTAGGAACCTCAAGCGCTCCCAGTAATTGAGGTGTTTTATCTCCGTTATGCGCGCCGTGAAAGTTCTCTGTACATTTTCTAGGTCGGCAATTTCACCTGCCTTGAAAGGTGCTGTTAGTGTGCAGCAATATTCCAGCCTAGATAGAACAAGTGACCTGAAGAGTGTCATCATGGGCTTGGCCTCCCTAGTTTTGAAGGTTCTCATTATCCATCCTGTCATTTTTCTAGCAGATGCGATTGATACAATGTTATGGTCCTTGAAGGTGAAATCCTCCGACATGATCACTCCCAGGTCTTTGACGTTGGTGTTTCGCTCTATTTTGTGGCCAGAATTTGTTTTGTACTCTGATGAAGATTTAATTTCCTCATGTTTACCATATCTGAGTAATTTAAATTTCTCATCGTTGAACTTCATATTGTTTTCTGCAGCCCACTGAAAGATTTGGTTGATGTCCGCCTGGAGCTTTGCAGTGTCTGCAATGGAAGACACTGTCATGCAGATTCGGGTGTCATCTGCAAAGGAAGACACGGTGCTGTGGCTGACATCCTTGTCTATGTCGGATATGAGGATGAGGAACAAGATGGGAGCGAGTACTGTGCCTTGTGGAACAGAGCTTTTCACCGTAGCTGCCTCGGACTTTACTCTGTTGATGACTACTCTCTGTGTTCTGTTAGTGAGGAAATTATAGATCCATCGACCGACTTTTCCTGTTATTCCTTTAGCACGCATTTTGTGCGCTATTACGCCATGGTCACACTTGTCGAAGGCTTTTGCAAAGTCTGTATATATTACATCTGCATTCTTTTTGTCTTCTAGTGTATTTAGGACCTTGTCATAGTGATCCAATAGTTGAGACAGACAGGAGCGACCTGTTCTAAACCCATGTTGCCATGGGTTGTGTAACTGATGGGTTTCTAGATGGGTGGTGATCTTGCTTCTTAGGACCCTTTCAAAGATTTTTATGATATGGGATGTTAGTGCTATTGGTCTGTAGTTCTTTGCTGTTGCTTTACTGCCCCCTTTGTGGAGTGGGGCTATGTCTGTTGTTTTTAGTAACTGTGGGACGACCCCCGTGTCCATGCTTCCTCTCCATAGGATGGAAAAGGCTCGTGATAGGGGCTTCTTGCAGTTCTTGATGAACACGGAGTTCCATGAGTCTGGCCCTGGGGCAGAGTGCATGGGCATGTCATTTTTTCGCCTGTTCGAAGTCATTTGGCGTCAGGATAACATCGGATAGGCTTATGTTAATCAAATTTTGTGGCTCTCTCATAAAAAATTCATTTTGATCTTCGACTCTGTCTGGTTAGCGGCTTGCTAAAAACTGAGTCATATTGGGACTTGAGTAGCTCACTCATTTCCTTGCTGTCATCTGTGTAGGACCCATCTTGTTTAAGTAGGGGCCCAATACTGGACGTTGTTCTCGATTTTGATTTGGCATAGAAGAAATACTTTGGGTTTCTTTCGATTTCATTTATGGCTTTTAGTTCTTCCCGCGATTCCTGACTCCTAAAGGATTCTTTTAGCTTAAGTTCGATGCTTGCTATTTCTCTGACCAGTGTCTCCCTACGCATTTCAGATATATTGACCTCTTTTAGCCGCTCTGTTATTCTTTTCCGTCGCCTGTAAAGGGAGCGCCCGTCTCTTTCTATTTTACATCTACTCCTCCTTTTTCTTAGAGGAATAAGCCTTGTGCATACATCGAGTGCCACCGAGTTAATCTGTTCTAGGCATAAGTTGGGGTCTGTGTTGCTTAGTATATCTTTCCAGCTTATATCGGTTAGGACTTGGTTTACTTGGTCCCACTTTATGTTTTTGTTATTGAAGTTGAATTTGGTGAATGCTCCCTCGTGACTAGTCTCATTATGTCGGTCTGGGGCTCCACGCATACATGTCTGAACCTCAATTATGTTGTGATCTGAGTATATTGTTTTTGATATGGTGACATTTCTTATCAGATCATTGTTAGTGAAGATGAGGTCTAGTGTATTCTCCAGTCTAGTAGGCTCTATTATTTGCTGGTTTAAATTGAATTTTGTGCAGAGATTTAAAAGCTCGTGTGAGTGTGAGTTTTCATCAGAGCTGCCTCCTGGTGTTATTACTGCAACAATATTATTTGCTATATTCCTCCATTTTAGGTGCCTTAAGTTGAAATCCCCAGGAGCAAGATGTTGGGTGCAGGAGCTGGAAGATTTTCCAGACAGTGGTCAATTTTTAACAGCTGTTCCTGGAATTGCTGGGATGTTGCATCTGGAGGCTTGTAGACTACCACAATGACTAGGTTTTGGTTCTCGACCTTTACTGCTAAAACTTCCACTACATCATTTGAGGCATTAAGCAGTTCTGTGCAAACAAGTGACTCTGCAATGTACAGGCCAACCCCCCCCCCTTTTGCCTGTTCACTCTGTCACATCTGTATAGGTTGTAACCTGGGATCCATATTTCGTTGTCCAAGTGATCCTTTACGTGGGTCTCAGTGAAAGCCGCGAACATTGCCTTTGCCTCTGCAAGCAGTCCACGGATGAAAGGTATTTTGTTGTTTGTTGCTGGCTTTAGACCTTGTATATTTGCCAAGAAGAATGTTATCGGACTGGTGGTATTGTTGGTACTGGGGGGGGGGATTTTTTTTCCGGCATTAGTATCTGTATCTGTTGGTTTGGCCATCGACTGTGGTTCCACTCCAGGAATGACTGGATTTGGTGTACGATTTCTGCCATTTCCTGCCAGTTTTTTTTTCCTTCCTGGCACTAAAAACCTCTCCCTCTTGAGTGGCTGTGGCTACCCAGGTTTTTCCATGGCCTGGATGTTTTGTATCTTTTTGTCCCCTTTAGATGGTATGCCTGACAATTTAAGTTATAGCACACTCTTTCCTGTACTAAAGAGGTACACAGTTCAGGGTGAAAAAGCTTACAGGAAGGGAGTTTGCATTTTCCTGTTGTCATATGGGCATGGCATTTTCTAGGGTGGTCATAGTTGCACGTCCCATCTGTTTTTCCAGATTTCCCATACCAGCAGATACCAAATGCATAGTATGTGCACAGGCTTGGTTTCCGTTTGCCTTGGGTTTCTGTGACTGTATTCCCTGTTGGTGCATGTTTCCCTGTCTTACTTCTATCCTCCCTAGCACCAACAACGGAGCTCCCACCAGTTGTTTTTGGTAATATATCCTCACAATTGCTAGTGGAGTCCTCTTGTTTGCTATTTCCTGCGGTATTTCTAGTTTGCAATATTGGTTTTATCTTATCTTTGACTACACTTGTTTCCCTACTATGGCTCCTGTCCCCTATGAGGTCATTTATATGTATTCCTTCCTGCGTATAATTCCCGACTACCTGGACAAAATCTCCAGCTTCACCATTACTGTCTCCCAGGACAGCATCTCCAGCTTCACCATTACTGTCTCCCAGGACAGCACCTCCAGCTTCACCATTACTGTCTCCCAGGACAGCACCTCCCGCTTCACCATTACTGTCTCCCAGGACAGCACTATCAGCCCCACATTTACTGACTACCAGGACTTCATCTCCAGCCTTACAGTTTCTGACTACATGGCCAGTATCAAGGGCAGTACCATTCAGCCCAGACTTTTTATGTTCCCATCTGTTGTAGAAAGCTTCCAGGTTTTCTATGAAAGCAGCTTTGATGTTGTCCTCTTTTAATACCCTTGTGATTTTAGTCCACAGATTTATCTCATTTGGGCATACCCAAAAACACTTCCCTGTTTTAACACTGCTTGTAGCTAGTTCTTGGATATCTGCACAAGGGGCGTGACACCAATTTCCACAAAAATGACAATTTACCCATGTGGAAGCCCGTTTGTTTGACTGACCACAGACTACACACAGCTTCATAATGATTTGAATGGTTGATTTACTGCAATTCTACTAGCAACATCTTGAATATTCTATTAATAACCTCCTTAAATGAAGCTCTAGCTATTTGTATTTCTGTTTCTAACTGTTTTTGTATATTGGACAGCTTACCGTGCACGTTCCTGATTTATATTTAATGTTTGTGTTTATAAGGGCACCTACAACCCCATCCGTTTACAGTCTGCTTTATTGTCCAACGAAACCGTTTGAAATCAGTCAAGGGTTCGGACCAGTCAAGGGTTCGGACCAGTCGATCTGATCTGATCAGTGGGTCACTTATTTAAAACATACTGGTCGGTGATTTGAGCTAACACATGAAGGATCTACTGGAAATTATCTACCCGAGTAATATGTGATTTGATTGATACAAAAGTATAACTTGCGTGTTCAAGAAACCGGTGACTGCTGGCAACTCCTACAATGACGAACGGTCGACCTCAACCCTTGTTTATCAGTCGCTGTATCTAGCTTTTCTATTTTTTTTTCTGTCTCCACCACAATAAATGCTATATTATCACTATAGTTGACTGGTGGAAATTTTGGAGGAAGGACGCTTTTTCTGTAGTAATAATTGCTTCTCGTTGTGTATATTGCGACCGCTGGTAACTACAGGTTATATGAAATTCACAGTATACGTCATCTTTGGGACCAACTGTCCCCAGGCCTAGCCACAAGCTAGGCCCCTCTGGTCTGCCATCCCCGCCCCAAGGGGGTTATTGGGAATGACAGTCTTGTGAGCTGCAAGCTCTGGCTCAGGCACCTACCCTGCCCTAGAAGAGTTAGGCATGGTGTCGATGAGAGAGATTTTAAACTTGCGAATGTTTTGTTTAAAATAACCTAAATAAATAAAATGAGTCATTAAATACGTATGTAACCGCAGATACCGCTGTATGCCCCTTGTAGGTTTAGCGCTTCTTTTTATATTAATAATAATAATAATAATAATAATAATAATAATAATAATAACTTTATTTCTACAAGTACATGTACAAGGTATACAGTCCTAGCTGACATTAATGACATACTACTATATAGAAAGCCGCTTGTTTTGCTGAGCATTTCGGGCAAATTAGGTCAGTTTTGTCCCAGGATGCGACCCACACCAGTCCACTAACACCCAGGTACCCATTATTACTGATGGGTGAATATAGATAACTAGTGTAAGGAAACACCCAATGTTTCTACCCTCGCCTGGAATCGAACCCGGATCCTCACCGTGTGAAGCGAGAGCTTTAGCCACGTATGTAACCGCAGATGCAGTTACATACGTATGTAATCAGAGAATTTTAAATATAATATAAATATAAAGAATCTTAAATATAATATAAATATAGATAATGTTAAAATGTACAGAGAACCTTCACGGCGAGCATAACGGAGATAAAACACCTCAGCTTGAAGTTCCTGAACCTGTATTCCCTGGAACTCAGGAGGGAGAGATACATGATTATATTCACCTGGAAAATCCTAGAGGGACTAGTACCGAACTTGCACACGAAAATCACTCACTACGAAAGCAAAAGACTCGGCAGACGATGCACCATCCCCCCAATGAAAAGTAGGGGTGTTACTAGCACGTTAAGAGACCATACAATAAGTGTCAGGGGCCCGAGATTGTTCAACTGCCTCCCAGCATACAAAAGGGGGGATTACCAACAGACCCCTGGCAGTCTTCAAGCTGGCACTGGACAAGCACCTAAAGTCGGTACCTGACCAGCCGGGCTGTGGCTCGTGCGTTGGATTGCGTGCAGCCAGCAGTAACAGCCAGGTTGATCAGGCTCTGATGCACCATGAGGCCTGGTCACAGACCGGGCCGTGGGGCATTGACCCCCAAACTCTCTCCAGGTAAACTCCAGGTAATAATATAACCAGGTACGTAGAACTAAGAAATAGTGAAAATTAATTTTTCTCTTGTAATTTTAAGTTTCTCCTCTGTACTGAACATTAAATATATTTTCGAACGGCTTCGCTCCTCTCTGAGAGAATTGTTAGGTTCCAGTATCTGTTAGCCACATTCTGTTGGACTGTCCACCCTTTCAACGAGCACGCAGAATTTACCTCCAACGTCGTCTCGGCTCTGCTGCACTTTCTTTACCTTCCCTTCTTGCTGATGGATCCTCCTTTAATCCAGACTCTCTGACTGACTTTTTGACAGCGACTGATTTGAAGATTGAGTCACTTATGCAACATATGGGAATCTTTATTTAGGAAACGTTTCGCCACACAGTGGCTTCATCAGTCCAACACAAAGCAGAAAGGTGTAAGGAGAGGAGGAGTTTGAGGTAATCAGTCCCTCACCCTGGAGCCGATGTGTTCAGTCCATCAATCTTGTTGATTCCCATATGTTGCATAAGTGTCTCAATCTTCAACTTGTCAGTTTTCAAAACCATTCATCACAGCGACTGATTTACTACACAAACTCTGATGATGATGCCTCTAGCACTCTTCTCCGTCCTTTCTACCTTAATCTCTTGCTACTCTCTACCCCCCTGCACTGCCCCGCTGCACTCCATACCCTAATAATCATCCCTCTCCCTCTTGCCACCCATTTCCCCTGCATCCTTCCTTGCCCTGCTGCGCTGTATAACCCTTGTGGGTTAGCGCTTCTTTTGATTATAATAATAATTCGAACGGCTTCATTCTTAAGCCGGTCATGTACTCGGGTTATGAAATACATACAGTCCCCTCAAGAGAGATTCCCTAAGTTGGCGAGGGGCTCTTGATCCAAGGAATGGACCTGACTTCTCTTTCCTTGGATAAAGCCTGAATGTCTCCCATTTCCCCAGGGGCTGTATGACCCCTATGGGTTTAGCACTTTCCTATATAGGTAGAGTGGTTGCTTATGTACTAAGTGGATAACTTTCTTGGATCATTGAAATAGAGTGGATGCTTATGTTCTTGGATCGAGCAGCGACTTCCAGGTAAACTCCAGGTAACGAATACCCCCAGGCACTTCCAGGTAACAGAGGTAGGGTTGAGAGCATTATTCTGCCAGGGGAAAACATTTTAACGTGTCTTAGTAATGTGATGGTCCACAATTGCGCTTCTGCAAGCTAACCCAGATCAAGGTCAAATAAAGTAAAATAAGTTTTGGTTCGAATTTTTAACCCGAAGGGTTAACTACCCAGGATAACCCGATAAAGTCAGTGCGTCATCGAGGGCTCTGTCTTGTTTATACTGGGATCCTTTAATCTAATACCCAGTTATCTACTTACTGCTAGGTGAACAGGGGTGGCAGGTGTAAGGAAACATGCCCAACGTTTCACTCGTGCCGAGTATCGATCCCGGTCCCTTAAGCTATAGGCTGAGGACACTTAGTTCAAATTCAAAGTTTATTCTCTATAAGGATTACAATGCTGAGTTTACAGAAATTTGGTTATTGTGTGGTTTACATGTAGTAAAATAGTGATTACAGAGTGTACCACTAGAACGCTTAACATGGCTAGGCATTTCGGCAGACTTAGTTTATTCTTAATTGTAAATATTACAATTAGAGTAAGTTGGTATATGGCTAAGTGACTAAATACTAGTTGTGATTTAGCATCCTCGAATTGTCTCGATGTTTACCTTTAAGTGTCTGGATACAGGTGAAGGGCTCTTGACTCGAGAACGCAGTCAGACCCGTATGGATTTTTCTCTGAATATAATAATTACCTTCATCCAGTTCACTGGAGATTTTATTCCTCAAGCACTATTTGCTTCCACAATATAATAGTTGTCATGTAGATGGAACGTGAAATCAGTATAAAGAGGAGAACATGGAGTATAACCAGCACGGTGGCCTGGTGGCTAAAGCTCCCGATTCACACACGAGGGCCCGGGTTCGATTCCCGGCGGGTGGAAACATTTCGACACGTTTCTTTACACCTATTGTCCTGTTCACCTAGCAGCAAATAGGTACCTGGGTGTTAGTCGACTGGTGTGGGTCGCATCCTGGGAGACAAGATTAAGGACCCCAATGGAAATAAGTTAGACAGTCCTCGATGACGCACTGACTTTCTTGTGTTATCCTGGGTGGCTAACCCTCCGGGGTTAAAAATGCGAACGAAATCTTATCTCTTATCTTCTTATGTTATCTCACGTAAAACAACTTATTATTCACAGAATAAATCACATTTACAGAGGAAACTTGAAATGACGTTTTAGTCTCGTTTTTATAGACTTAAAGACCATAAAAATGTTCGCCTTATTGGCACTAACAATTCTTATTTCAGAGATCATAGCCAGCCATCCTATAAATTGATCCTCTGCTAAAATTATATATCCTCCTAACCTTCTCAGACCCTGTCATGATGAATCGGCTCTGAGACACAACATTCCCAACATGAATCTTATTCCCGGATTTGTTTCTGTATGTGCCTGCCTTCCTCTAAATACTGTCAAATGATCTAATCATCAAGACACTCGTGACTAGACATGACCTTTGTCTTCTTAACTTTTCTCTTGGCTTGTCTTCTGTATTTTCTTTTCTGTCTTCTGAATTATCTTTACTTCTTACCTAGCGCTAGGCCTGCAGTTCTTTTCTTTATTTTCTTTGTCCTTAATGAATTCTTTGGGGTGTGTGTTAGAGTGAACCTCAATGAAAATAAGTCACTTTGACTTTTTTGGGGGTTATCCTAGGTAAATTACACATACGTTACTATGTGCACCTAAAGTCGGTACCTGACCAGCCGGGCTGTGGCTCGTACATTGGATTGCGTGCAGCCAGCAGTAACAGCCTGGTTGATCAGGCTCTGATCCACCATGAGGCCTGGTCATAGACCGGGCCGCGGGGGCGTTGACCCCCGGAACTCTCTCCGGGTAAACTCCAGGTACCTAAATATACTTACTAATAACAGATTGTATATGTATGCTGACAGTCTGTATTTACTAAAGACGAATTCCAGTTATTACCGAATTTTTTTTATTATATAGAGTGTGGTTACCTGTTTTTCCATGTTATAATTGATCCTATTAGTAAACTACTACAACTTTCATTCCTTCTATCATTACTACCTCAACTACTGTTACTACTACCACCTAAACCTTCCTACTTCCCGGGTGTCTGCTGGTCTGCTCTGTTTTCTCTCGCTTAGCTGTGACCTGAGACTGGTCCATGACGGACCGAAACATCATCTAGTTTATGTAAGGATTGTTCCAAGCACTGTGTTGTGACTTGCATTCTTAACCTGCTGTCTCTTGAGAATTGTTTCAGCCACTGCATTGTGACATGCATGATTAACTCACCGTTATCTGTCCGTATGTCACCACCGTCAACCATGACCTGCGACCGCGTTACTCGATATGTTTATTGAATGGCGTTCATATCAGGTGCTTACCTCACTATCTCGTTAACCTGTCTCTATATCTGTTACTTCACTTGGAAGGTCGACTCATTCCAGTTACTAATCAACATACTTCACCAGTCAACACCATGATAGCACTGATTTTATTTTAGTTGTGTGCTTAGGTTGGAATGGATTTTATTCTCGTGTCCGTCATGGAAGATAAGTTGATGTTAATGTTTACCTGGAGTTTACCTGGAGAGAGTTCCGGGGGTCAACGCCCCCGCGGCCCGGTCTGAGACCAGGCCTCCTGGTGGATCAGAGCCTGATCAACCAGGCTGTTGCTGCTGGCTGCACGCAAACCAACATACGAGCCACAGCCCGGCTGATCCGGAACTGACTTTAGGTGCTTGTCCAGTGCCAGCTTGAAGACTGCCAGGGGTCTGTTAGTAATCCCCCTTATGTGTGCTGGGAGGCAGTTGAACAGTCTCGGGCCCCTGACACTTATTGTATGGTCTCTTAACGTGCTAGTGACACCCCTGCTTTTCATTGGGGGGATGGTGCATCGTCTGCCAAGTCTTTTGCTTTCGTAGTGAGTGATTTTCGTGTGCAAGTTCGGTACTAGTCCCTCTAGGATTTTCCAGGTGTATATAATCATGTATCTCTCCCTCCTGCGTTCCAGGGAATACAGGTTTAGGAACCTCAAATGTGAGCAAATGTGAGCAACGCTTTCCGTCTTTGGGTCAAATTTCTTGTATAGTGATATATACATGTACCTATTATTGCAATATTCATGTGCCTATTATTATGGTCTAATCCTCTCATTAATGTTAATATAAATAATTCAGTTTATCTTATTCCTAGTATACCTCATTTTCACATAGCTGTTTTAACCTTCAAAAATTAAATAATAGTATATTACAAGGAACCCCACTGGAAATAAATCACTTTGACTTTTATGGGTTATCTACGCATATGTTGAGTGTGTATAATTTATGTAACTGTATTTATGTGTACCTGTACCTGAATATACTTACTAAATCTGATTACCATCCTTTCCTCAGGTGTTATTCGACCCTTACGGGTTTATTGCTTCTCCATAAGTAATAATAAAATAATAATAATAATAATAATAATAATAATAATAGCAACAGCAATCAACACACCATCGTAAGGATAAATGTTATCAATTATACAGTGTTTGATTACATTCTTGTCAGGTGTAAACACAATGTCACATGCATCAGACACAAGGGTAAAGTAAAGTTTATTACTTTGTAAAGGTTACAATGTGTAATTACAATTTTGATTTACTAAGTCCAAAGATAGCCACTATCATGCCCAGGCATTTCGGGCAAACTAATCCTAATGTATAGTAACTAATTAAAACTAGATAAGATAATAGTACGTAGCAACTATACTTAAAACTAGACAAGTAATAGTGGCTAGCAGTTTTACAATCTTATTTAAACTTAATACAATCTTATTTAAACTTAGTACAAGTGAGTAGGGTTCGGTAAAATAAGCTTGAAATTGCACACAAAATCTACCTTACAAGTAATGATATATGTGTTTTATCACAAACTTGGTGAACGTATTATTATTTAGTTTAGTAAATCTTTCATGGAGGATGTCTTGATGCTAGTGCAGGGCTCTTGATTAAAAAAAATTGGAGCTACGCTTCCTCAGATCTTACTTGATTACCAGTCATTCCCTAGGCGCTATATTACTCTAACTGGTTTAGTGCTTCCTCGTTTAGAATTTATGTATATATATATATATATATATATATATATATATATATATATATATATATATATATATATATATATATATATATATATATATATATATATATATATTATATATACACACACACTAATCACAAGTGAATAATAACAGCTCTTGGATTTCTTGAGGGGACTTAATTAAGCTTTTGCTACCTGTCTCTTAAATACTTGGGGTGCAGTACTTGGTCTTTTGTGTACATTATAATACAGGTGACTGTGGTCAAGGTAAATGGGGGAAATACCATTCAAAGATCGAGCAGAGATTGCTACTCGCCTAGCTTCGTGTCTGTCTCGTGTGTGTAAACTGAGTATATGCTGTATTACCTGGAGGTGCCTACCTTCCTGGAGGGTATTCCGGGGATCAACGCCCCCGTCGCCCGGTCCATGACCAGGCCTGATAAGCATGTCTTCTTATCATTGTTCACCACTTATAATCCCTTATCAAATAATTCAATATCTCTGTAAGCAACAACTCCTTGTGAAACTGTTGAAATTTGCTGATAAAATTATGTTCGTCAGGGTGAGTTTGAGTTACATTATAAGGACTAATGAATAGGTAAACAGTGTAATGGGCCTACTAGTTCTGTGATTGATTTCCATGAGTACACTGAGGAGGTCAAGTTTATCATGTGATAATTCGAAGCTAAGAGCATAAATCCCGTCGTGTAACAGGCTTTACATTGATTATTTTCTCCATCTCAGGCACGATGCTCATGTTCAATTATTCATTAGATAATCACGTTGATGATTTACAAAGTTCCTTCTTCTGTCATTCACTACATAGACCACTGTTGAAAGTATAGAACTCTACTCACTTTTCCTTACTGTTACTAGCACGAATGGAAAATGTAACAGTGCATCAACAATAGTTATCTTCATACTCTGTCTACTAAGTGCATTTTTGATCATAGGAAGATGAGTAAGCTTGTTAGTGGTCACGAGGTGGTGGTGATGAGTGATGAGTGGCTGGCCAGGTTGGGCAAGGAACAACAACTCTACAAGGAAGGTATGGTCAAACTGATGCCCGACGGATGGCTACTTCCCGCTGCATTCACCAGAATTGCAGACAAGATATACAACTTCAAGGTACATATGAAATTAAGTTAGTATTAAAGCATATATATGAATCTTAGAGGATATTGTTAATAGTTTTATATATTTTTAAGATACTTTATTCAATAACTGTGTGTACGTGACCCAATTGTAACATGAAAATGGAGAAAGATTAGGCTGTAAATTACTGCCTCTATTTCTTTTTGTCTCCAAGTGGACATCTCTGTTTCAGATGAATAGTATTCATGACACTACCAACATTGTATCATGCATTACATTTTTTTTTATAGCTCAGGCCCAGCGACGTAATTTTGATGGGGATGCCCAAGTCTGGTACAACCTGGCTTCAGGAGGTCCTCTGGACGATGTTGAACAACCCTGACCTGAACAACGATAAAGCTGACACACCAACACCAATGAGATCACCACAAATAGAGTATGAGAATATATATTTTAAATCTAACATTTCTTCTGTGTTCTCTGACAGCCAGACTTAACATATAGTAACTTTAATAAGTACATACTATATATTTACCTTCTCAACTAAACTCTAATTTACAACATTGCTGTAGGTAAATATTATCATAATAAATACGTATAAATTCTAGATTTGACGCACTGGCGGATAGCAACGCATGGGATAAAATGATGGTAGATTTTGGCGAACTTCCTCAATCTTTTCAAGATATGGCTGCAGAATTTTTATTCAAAGAAATGAAGTCAGAAGATGGTGTTTTCCTGAAGATGTCTGAAGCTTTACCTGACCGTCGTGTTATGAAGACTCATCTTCCATTCTGTCTCCTGCCTCCATATCTTCTTAACTCAGCTAAGGTTATCTTAGTAGAGTATTATTACTACTACTGTACAGTGTGTACTGTAACATTGTTATGCTTTACTTAAATCATTTTCCAAGACTTATATTTCAGCGCTCGAATTCCATAAACAAATCACGTTTGGAGAGTTATATAAACATATTTCTAGTGAAATTAATTGCACGAGTTTAACTTGGGATTTTTATATTACTTCAGTGTGTTTAACTTCGGATTATTTGTACTTAAGTATTTTCTGACGTGAGGAATTTAGTATACGTAAAATTCTAGGGTAAAAAGAGCATATCCTACAAATATTTTCTTTCGGGTATTGTGATATGTGTTTTTCTACAAGTGTTTTGCACTATTGTAAGAATACACAAATAACCCGCACATAGAAGAGAGGAGCTTACGACGACGTTTCGGTCCGATTTGGACCGAAACGTCGTCGTAAGCTCCTCTCTTCTATGTGCGGGTTATTTGTGTATCGTTCCAGTCACGGTATTGTGCCTTTTTTTGTTATCTACTGTAAGAACTATTGCAGATCAATGGTTGTGTTGTTACGATGCTTCTTTAATTATTTTTCACGTTAATTCTCAGAGTTTGGCAATTCTTGGTTAAATATATGTCATATTTTCAATGGAATCAGTCAGTTGTTTCTGTCCTTTCTGCGACCTAAGTTCTCTCCCTCATCTCTTTATACAACTATTGTTCTAGGTGGTGTATGCAGTTAGGAATCCCAAGGATGTGGTGGTGTCCTTGTACCACCACTTCAAAAATTTCCAATTCCACTCCTACACCGGCACCTTCGACAACTTCGTGAAGCTGTTCATGGAGGATGATTGTAAGTAGTGAAGTCTTTTTTAATGGCATATGGATGCGTGGTGTCGTACATGTGTGCATCAGTCAGTTAGGTTAAGCATTATTGGGTCTGACCATTAAGTGGATGAGTGCAACGATATCGTTGGCCAGGGAAATCTCAAGTCAAAACATTATGACATCTTCACTAACAGCCACCTCACTGAGCCTCATAGAACAGCTCTGACATCTTACCAGCCAGATTTTAAACTATTAACTACAAAAATGAAGATTCAGTCTTCAACGAGCAGAAATTTAACATATTCTGCTGTGGTGAAGAGGACTACTATACACTTGTATTTTCTATTATTTATAAATACAAATTTTAAATATTTTCTGTGGATCTTGCACATTAAAAACAAGAAGGCCTGAGCTTGCTACCACCAGCAGCTCACAGGACTACCATCCCCACGAGCCACTTTGGGGCGCGGCAGATGGCAGACTAGAGGCCCAGCTTCTCCCTACGAGCCCCGTGAGGGCGGGGACTGTGGCTAGACCTGGGGACACTTGGTCCCAAAGATGAGGGGGTACTTGTACCTCCTCCCATGGGAGACACAGATCTCGAGATACTCCCCAGAGAGGGAGCCAAGGCCGGGTCATCACTACTTGGAAAAGACCCGGGCCGGGAGAATACCGGCGAATAAAAAAAAAACATAGTATAGTATAGTTCTTCCTATCGAAGAACTTGCTCACCCCTGGCCTATACAAAAGTGACCAGAGGGCACCTGCCCATGTCAATAGTTGCATTAATTTTTCCATAGCTATAGAACACTAGCGTTGAAAATTTGAAGCCGATCGGATAAGGCATTTTCAAGTTATAAACGAAAACCTTTTAGGAAAAAAAATTAACAAGTAGCACCATGAACTGCAGTTTGGTTTTTTCATCACTAATCAGAAGTAGTAAAGAGTGTATATTCTTGTTGCAAGCATAACTTGAATTTAATGGCCAAGTAGAACTACATGTTTATTATGCACCACATACCCATCCTGTGGGCGGTAGTCAAAAGATTACAGAGGTACATAATGGGTCCAGGAACTGGACCCCAAAATTTTGATAGCTGAATAAGTTATAGGTAGATCTGGTCACAATCATGACAAGTTACAAAGGTATTTACAGATTACAGAGGTACATAATGGATCAACATACTAAACAGTTGGGTTAAATATGATCATCTTGTTCATCTTGTATTATTGTATATGATGTAAATAGGGTAATCACTATATTATGATCATATAACACTATAGAATCCCTAATTTATCAGTTAATTTACATACTGTGAGGCATAATATTAGCGGTGACTGGTCTTACAAGCAAATGATAAGATGGGAGCTTGAAGTGTGGAGGGAGTCGGGGATAATTTTTGTTACTCAAGGTTATCAATATTTAACTGCTACTGCCTGCTTGATGCTTAGTATGTGCCATACAACACAATACCGTGGCCTTTGTTCTTTCTACTTGACCCTTGTAGGTTTAGCTCTTCTTTTTTATAATAATAATAATAATAATAATAATAATAATAATAATAATAATAATAATAATAATAATAATGTTCTTTCTCCTTCCTGCTTAATAAACTAAAATTTCAACAGATAAGTGTTTGCAGGTAACACACATTTAATCGGCAGTTTCTATTATTACCACTAATTATTAGATGTTATTTATTTTAAATGTTGAGGAAGAAAGGGAGGCGGTAATTTCATGCACTGGTCAGGGAGGTATACCATCTTTTAGGAGTGAAGAAGAGCAGAATGTAAGTGTGGGGAGGTACGTGAGGCATTACGTAGAATGAAAGGGGGTAAAGCAGCTGGAACTGATGGGATCATGACAGAAATGTTAAAAGCAGGGGAGGATATAGTGTTGGAGTGGTTGGTACTTTTGTTTAATAAATGTATGAAAGAGGGGAAGGTACCTAGGGATTGGCGGAGAGCATGTATAGTCCCTTTATATAAAGGGAAAGGGGACAAAAGAGATTGTAAAAATTATAGAGGAATAAGTTTACTGAGTATACCAGGAAAAGTATACGGTAGGGTTATAATTGAAAGAATTAGAGGTAAGACAGAAATGTAGAATTGCGGATGAGCAAGGAGGCTTCAGAGTGGGTAGGGGATGTGTAGATCAAGTGTTTACATTGAAGCATATATGTGAACAGTATTTAGATAAAGGTAGGGAAGTTTTTATTGCATTTATGGATTTAGAAAAGGCATATGATGAGTGGATAGAGGAGCAATGTGGCAGATGTTGCAAGTTTATGGAATAGGTGGTAAGTTACTAAATGCTGTAAAGAGCTTTTATGAGGATAGTGAGGCTCAGGTTAGGGTGTGTAGAAGAGAGGAGAATACTTCCCGGTAAAAGTAGGTCTTAGACAGGGATGTGTAATGTCACCATGGTTGTTTAATATATTTATAGATGGGGTTGTAAAAGAAGTAAATGGTAGGGTGTTCGGGAGAGGGGTGGATTAAATTAGGGGGAATCAATTTCAAAATGGGAATTGACACAGTTACTTTTTGCTGATGATACTGTGCTTATGGGAGATTCTAAGAAAAAATTGCAAAGGTTAGTGGATGAGTTTGAGAATGTGTGTAAAGGTAGAAAGTTGAAAGTGAACATAGAAAAGAGTAAGGTGATGAGGGTATCAAATGATTTAGATAAAGAAAAATTGGATATCAAATTGGGGAGGAGGATATGGAAGAAGTGAATGTTTTCAGATACTTGGGAGTTGACGTGTCGGCGGATGGATTTATGAAGGATGAGGTTAATCATAGAATTGGGTGGGAAAAAAGGTGAGTGGTGCATTGAGGTATATGTGGAGTCAAAAAACGTTATCTATGGAGGCAAAGAAGGGAATGTATGAAAGTAAAGTAGTACCAACACTCTTATATGGATGTGAAGCTTGAGTGGTAAATGCAGCAGCGAGGAGACGGTTGGAGGCAGTGGAGATGTCCTGTCTAAGGGGGAAAATATGTGGTGTAAATATTATGCGGGAAAATTGGGAGTGTGGAAATTAGGAGAAGGTGGGGGGAGTTAATAAAAGCTTTAGTCAGAGGGAAAGAAAAGGGGTTGTTGGGGTTTTTTTGGGTTTCTTTTTGGAAGAATGGATCAAAGTAAAATTTGCCCGGGAAAAAGCTTTAAAAAACTTTAGGGGGGAAGGAAGGGGGGGTTTAGGGGTCGTCCTCAAAAGGGGGTTGAAAGGGGGGGGTAAAAGGGAGGTTTTGGGGGCGAGGGGTTTGGGACTTCCGCAAGCGTGCTGAACTTTTGATAGGAGTGAATGGGGACAAATGATACTTGGGACCTGACGATTGTTGGAGTGTGAGCAGGGTAATATTTAGGGGAAGGGTTTAAGGGAAACCGGTATTTTATATAGTCGGGAAATTGACCCGGGGAAATTGGAAAGAAACAATGCCTGAACTTTAAAGTGTTATAACAGGGGGTGGCGCGGGGGGAGGGGTACTTGCATTCAGTTTCCTGAAAACGATAACGGGCGCCGGTTCCGCTTTTTGGAACCAAAAAAGGGGAAGCCTTCCATGGGGAAAGTGGACTCCTAAATTTAACTTCATCACGGAAAATGTGAAATTAGTTCTTCGGCGAAGACTTTTTGCGCAGTGGCGGGGCGATACGCGGGTACATAAATGGGTTTAGAAACCTTTGCCCAAGGGGGGAAAATAGGCAAAGGATCAGTGGGTAAAACCCCTTTGGGACTCACCATCAAAGTCGACTGCAAAAACGTTCATGTTTGAAAAACCTGGAAAATTTTTTTGGGACCTCTTCAGGATAATCCGTCAAAGCTAATCTTTTTCCCTGCACGGGCCTGGTGTTTTTGAATTTCCCACCCCCCCCCCAGCCCTCCCCCCCCCCCCCCCCCTGGGGAATGCACTCATGAGGAAGTCGGCGGGGGGCTTCACCCTCCACCCCTCGGGGGGAGGGGAATCTGAAAAGGCTGGATTTTTTGAGACTCTAAAAACCGCGGGTTCAACCCCGGGCCCGGGGGGTATGGGGAATTTTACAAGGTCGACAAGTAAAGGTATTTTTTCTGCGGGGGGAAATTCGGGATATGCATTTTTGAAAACCCAAGGGAAATTGCAATTACCACTTTGCACTGTGTGCAAGGGGGTTTAAAGGGGAGGGGCCCCTTTGACTGGGGCACGTTCGTTGTAAACCAGCAAAAGGTCCCCTTTCCCAAAAGCTTTGCTCACATCCCATAACGGGGAGTGGGGCGAGTTAGCTGACAAAGGACGCATACCTTTTACAAGCGTAACTCTGCCGCTGATGCCATGCATGACCAACAGCCCCTGCCGACGGGGGATATGCGCTTGAAAAAATGTTTGGTCTCTACAACACGTCAGAGTTAGGGGTAAAAGGTTTTGACGGGGGCGTCCCCAGCCCGGGGTTTTCACTTTTAAACCCTAAACGTTTGATGGCCAGGAGGTGATGGGAAACTTTGCCTCTACTACGAGGTCGATCGGGAAAAAGAGACTGCCCCCCCCGGGGAGAATGTCGGGGGAAAACCCCCGGTTTTTCCAACGATTTAAGCACTGTGCATATCGAGACAGGGGTAGCACTTTGTGGTCCTAAGCGCACGCCCAAAAGGGAAAATTTCCACTCCTTTTTGGAATTCTGCTTTCCACTCAGCTGGTTTAAGCGGATCCTAAGGCCCTCCAGGGTTTTTTGCCCCTAGGGAGCGGTTTCCCCAGGGAAAAAAACCATACCATCTACGACTAAGAATTTTGCGGACAGCTTTGCCCGGGGGGGAACCGCAAATTTTCAAATTGTTGTACGCCCACAAACCCTTTCGCGGATTACCTGGGGACTCCTCTCAAGGTCTAAAAATGGAAAGAGGCTCTGTCAACGGGCCCGCGTAAAGCCCAAATTTTCTCAAAAAAAATTTGGAGCGGAAAAATTTTTAACCACCGAACCTGTATCTGGGAAAAAGTTTGGACAGGCTTATTGGGGATTTTTGGGGATTTGATGAGCGGCCAACGGGTTTGTCTTTACCAAACTTAAAAGGGCATGCCCAGCCCGACAAAAACCCCAGAGTCACAGCTGCTCGAGGCTCGACCTTGTTAAACGGGGGTTCGACCGGGAAAGGGTACGGTTGGGGGATTTTCTGGGCCCAACAACGTCAAGACACTCGTTTCCCCCAATGTCGGCAAGGATCACTCCCCGGGGGGGTTGGAATGCATTGCGGACGGGACGGAATACAGCGACCCCGAAGGGTTACTATGTCTTTCGCGGGGTTTTTGGAGGGCGCCTTTCCCCAAAAACTGGGGGAAGGGCTTCTACGAGCCGTGCATTGCGCGACGACTGCTTGCCCCACTCAGCTGACAGCTATTTCGCGCTTGTTAAACTCATGGGGGTTTTGACTGGAAGTTTTTGTGGTACATACAGATTTCCCTAAACCGGGCTGAGCATGGGGAGGGGGAGGGTTACCTTGTACTGAGCAGGGGGAGGGTTACGGCTACTTTGATACTGGCAGGGGGGACGGTTAGGGTTTACTGGGATACTGGCTTTTGGGGACTGGGGAAGGGTTTATTTTGGGGCGGGGCCCTTAGGTTTGTAACACTCCGATGGGTTTGGTGCCCACTTTGCCAAAGTTGAAAAAATTTAAATACACGCTTAGCGGGTGAGGTTGGGGGGGGTGTTTCCCGGGCAAACGTTTCGCCTTGGCCCGGGAAAATTAAATGATTGCCTTTTTGATAGACTGACTGTTTTTACTGGGGTTTCAAATATTTTTACTTGGGCGCGTTTTTAGTGGGATTTGTGGGGGGCCCTGTCTGACAGCAGGGCAAAAGTGACTTCCCTGCGACCGGGGGGGTCCCCTTGTGGACGGCCCCGGGAAAGGGAAAGGGTAGGGGTTTCATCCGAAAAGGGGGAAAAAACCTTGCCTTGCTGGAAGGCGGCTTGGGCGAGTCAAAGGCATCAATGCCCCCCGGGACGTCGTGCTGGGGGCCCGGAGCCCTTTGCCTTTAAATGGCAACCCAGGGGTTTAAAGGGGGGGCCCCCCTCCGCATGATCCCGGGACAGCCACATGGGGATGATGTCTTTAGCATAAATTTCGGCCGTCACCACCCACCCAAAAGTGGAGTTTAGGGCCCCCTGTAAAGCCCCTTTGGGGGGCTTGCTCAAACCCGGGGCAAAGGGAAGCCAGGGGGCTTTCGTGCCGGTATTTGACTTTAAGCCAAGACGCTGGTAACGATGTAAATGTAAGGGCGTTGGCGACTCCCCAAAAAAATAAGGGCCTAAATTCCCCTTAAGTTCGCCCCCAAGGGACTGAATTTTACAAATGCCTTGGGGCTGCCAAAGGCCCCTATATCATCCTGGGTGAGTTCCCCCTTTTTGAACAGCAGCACGAATTTTATTGTGTACCCGGGGGACAAATCAAATAGAGCCTAAACAGTCGTCCCCCGACTGACTGCACCATGGTCAAAAACTATTTGACCGACCGTCAAAAAAAAGGGGGGGGGTTTAGGGCGTTGGCCGGCCCACGGGTGGTCGAGGCTTTTTTTATTTTTTATTTTTTATTTTATTTCCAATTTGTGCACACAAAACAGAGGTCAAAAAAAATACAGAAAGAGCAGTATGCCAAAGCCCCCTTTTACTATGCATAGCATTAGGGCTGGTTTAAAAAATTAAAATTAAAAAATTAACTAAGCAATGATTATTATTATTATTAAAATAAAAAAGGGAAGCGCAAACCACAAGGACTATACACCCGCTGCTAAAAGCAATGATGAAATCAGTGAAAAAAAACTTTAAAGTAAAAGATAACATAAAGCACAAGGAGTATTACAAAGACGGGTTCATATGGTTGCATTCATTTTGGGTTTGGGTTCTTTTAGGTAGTGTTTTTAAAAAAATAAAAAAGTTAGATTGGGTTTTAGGTTTTAACATTTATGTGATAAAAATTGTGGGGAAAACTTTTTAAGATATACAATTTAAAAATTTTCCCATTTTCATTTTTAATTTGGTTTTGGGGAAAAGTAATTTTTTTGAAAAGACTTGAATTTTTTTAACGGGGTTTGTGTTTTTTTTATATTTACAGGTAAGGGGAATTTCCAGATTTTAGGGCCTTTTATGTGCATTGAGTTTTTTTTTTGTTTTGGAGATGGACACGGGGGAAACTTTTCAAAGAGTTTTCTTTTCCCTTGTTTATGGCCCATGGGGTTCTGTTGAGGTTGGCAAGGAGATTTTTGGAGGGGGGGGTTTTAATATCAAGTTAAGTTTTTCAAAGTTGTAATGGGTTTTGCAGTAATAAGTATGGATGTTTTGTATGGTGAGTGGTTTTTGTTTTAAATTTTGGTGGAGGGGTGCTCCCCTGTAGGGAATTTGTTATATTCAAAACTGCACCCGGGGGGGGGGGGGAAATTTTAGGGGTTCTGAGGGGTTTAAATTGGGTTGTTGACCCCCAATGCAAAAAAATTCCATAGGTGAGATAGGGGTAAATAAGGGGAGTGATATAGGGCCGGGGGGCTGACTGTGGAACATAGTACCGTATTTTCGATGTATCCCTTTCCTTTGGAAATTTTCTTAGAAATTTGTTTTTTTTTGTAAAATGTGTATAAAATTTGAGTTTATTATAAAGGGTGGTTTCCTAAGAATTTTCCCTCTGTTATTTTTTTGTGATAGGTAAACCCTTTATCATTATTTAAGAGGGACATCTGTACTTGTTCCCAAAAACAAAATAAAAGGGGTTTTTTGTCAATTTTTAGTGTTTAAAAGTTTTTTAGTCCTAATCCAGGTAGATATTTTCTGTAATTCGGAAATTTACAGTTTTTGGCTAGCGTGACGGGTTTGGGGTTGAGAAAAGGAACGTATTTTGTGTCATTTTAAAATATTTGGGGGGTTTTGGGGTAATTGGAATTTTTGGGAAGGTCTTTTAAATGTATGGGAGAAAGGAAGGGGGCCCAAGGCCCAATTTCCCTGTGGGACAAAAACTGTTTTGGGTTTTGGCAAAGGGGTTTGCCCCTTTTGCGTACCCAAAAATTGGTTTCTGTTGCGGGAGGTAAGACTTAAAGGTATTTTGGGGGAGTGCCCTCTTATACCATAGGGGTGAAAATTTTTTACGTGGAGCAAGCCCATGGTAAAACCTGTATAAAAAGTTTTACGTAAGTCAATGAAGACCCCCCGGGGGATTTCTTTTTTCTCATTGCAGTGATATATTTTTAGCATTTTGGTAAATAGCTCATTAGTATTTTTATTAGGCCTGAATCCAAATTGGCGGGGTTGATTATTTTTTGGGAGAAAAGGGTAAGGGAGTAGATTTTTTAAATAAAATTAAAATTTTTCGAAAATTTTTGAGAGGGGGGTTGTAAGTTGGAAAATTGGGCCCTATAGTTATTAAACCCTTGTTTGGTCTCCCCCCTTTGGGGATGGGGGTGCCCCCCTTGCTATTTTGAGTACTGTGGGGAAGGGTTTGGGGGGTTTCAAGGGATTTTTTTAAAGAGTGTTTTCAAAAGATTGGGATAGCCTTGTGACACTTTTTTGTATATAAAGGGGGGGGTAAAGGGTTTTTTTAAAACTCCTGCCTTGTTTTTTTTGTGCGTTTATTAAAAAGGGAACTTGTATGGGTTAGTCGGGGGCTAGGAACAGTGTGTTCGGGTAGTTGCCGGTGAGGTAGTCATTTGGTTTGGGGTATCTGAGCTTGGGAATTTTTTTGGCAAGGTTTTGTTTTTTTTAAATGGAGGAAAGAAATCATTGAGTCTGTTTTCGTTTTGTTGGTTTGGGGGTTTGGGGGGTTTATCTGTTTTTTTCTAATTTTTATTTCGCTATTTCCTGTATCTTTTTTTTTCCCCGAATTTCTGATAGGGTTTTCCAGGTTTTTTTTTTATAAACCCCGTAAGTTGGATAATCTGTTTCATAATACAATTTTTTTTCCCCCCCTTTTTTCAGGCTGGTTAGGGGTTGACGGGTAACGTTTTGTTTGGTCTCTGGTTATGTGACCCCTTCGGGACGTTTTTCTATTTTGGGGTTTTTTTAAATTTTTGGATTTGAGGAAAAGCTGGGTGTTACCAGGGGCTGTTCAGTCTCTTTGGGTGTCATCCCGTTTTTGTTTTTTTAGGGCAGTGCTTGTTATAGAGGTTTTTGGGGGTTTTTTTTTTTGAAAATTATTTAAAACATTCGGGCAATTTCTGTATAGGTTTTTTAGTCATGTGCCAATCAATTTTTTGCCCATTGTTTTTTGGAAATTATTAATGGGCCCTTTAGCCACAAAATTTTACCAACTGTCGCGGGGTTCTAAAAATGTTCTATTCTTTAGCACCTCTGGGAAAAGCAGTGATAAGTTTTTGGTGTGGTGAAAAATGTTGAATTTATGATGAAAGTTTTTTTCTTTTGGGGGTTTTCTTTCTTTTTGGGTTTACCCTGCCTCGGTTTGGGGGACGAAACCCACTTTTTGAAAAGGAAAAAAAAAAAATTTCAAGGTCATATAATACTTTTCTTACTAGGCATTACATTTTAAAACTGCCCCCTCTTCTACATTTTAGGGGGGAGTTTTTTTAAAAAGAAACGGGTAGAGGTTTTCACTAGATGCTTCAAAATTGCTTTGCTTGGCAAATGTTGTTCAGTCCCCTACTGGCCCCCTTGGGGTCTTCATGGAAGATGAAGGATCAACCCAGCGTACATTTCGTCTTTTATGAGGACATAAGACTTTACAATAGGGAGAACTAAGGGAAACCAATGAAATTTCCCTTTGGGGCTAACCTCACCCCAAACACTCAGTAAAGTAAGTGTCTTTTTGAAAATTTTTTCTAGGCAAACTAAAATTTGGTTTAGGGGAATGCGAAAGGGGTGACTACATTAAACCCTTTCTTTATCAAATATAATCATATATTATCTTATCATTCACCACGTAGCTATAAATATCACTTGAGTGTAAAGGGTGTTTTCATTTTTCTTGTACAGTATTTTTCACAAGTTTTATTTTCATTTAACATTTTTTTTAAAAAATTTCTGGGGGGAAGCGAGCCTCAGTGTGTGGATTCGTTTTTATCATTGATCAAAATAATCTGAAATTTCACCAAGTCATATTTTAAAGAAAAAATTTGGGGGAAACCCAAATAAAAAGGGGGCTTATATTTTAAAAAAATAAACCCAGCTCCCTAAAAATCCCCACCTGGGGGGTCACCGGGAAGAGAGAAGAAAAAGTCACTCTCCAACCGGAGGGCCCCAAAAAATATGACAAAAAAAGAAAACAACGACACCCCCACCCGGGGGGCCCCCGCCGGGGGCGCCCTCTGGAGAAAAAACCCGGGCCGGAAGTAAAGGCCAAAAATAAAATCAATTAAACAATCCCTAAACCCAATATAATTTTATATGACAAAATCAATGGATTGCCCTCTCCTTTTGTCAAGTGAAAAAGTAATTGATCCGTCAAACTTTGCTTGAATCCTTTACTTATTTTTTTTATTTTGACAGGATTTGATTGGGAAATTTTTTGCCCCCAAACCTGGTGCTCCGGGATATGGGGAAAGGGCCGCTAGTTTATGCAGACTGTACAGGGTTTTGAATCCCCCCTGTGGGGGCTGAGAGATAATGATGTGTGGATATAATATTTATATATATTAAAAATTTATAAAATATATATAATAAAATATATATATATAAATATATATTATTTTTTTTTTTTTTATTACCACCGGCCGATTCCCCCCAAGGCAGGGGGGCCCGAAAAAAAAAAAAACTTTCACCATCATTCACCCACCCCGTCTTTCCAGAAGGGTGTTTACACTACAGTTTTTAAAATGCAACATTAAAAAACCCCCCTTTAGAGTGCAGGCACTGTACTTCCCATCTCCAGGACTCAAGTCCGGCCTTCCCGGGGTTTTCCCCGAATCCCTTTTATAAAAGTTACCCTTTTCTCACACTCCAACAGGCCCCGTCAAGTATTAAAAACCATTTGCTCCATTCACTCCTTCAAACACGCTCACGGATGCCCGCTGGAAATCCAAGCCCCTCGCAAACCCAAAAACCCCCTTTTCCCCCCCCTCCAAAACCCCTTTCCAAAGGCGACCCCACCCCGCCTTCCTTCCACTACAGACTGATACACTCTTTAAGCCCCTTTTTGTTTTTGCTTTCCCTTCTCTCTACATTTCCCCCAACCACCTAAACAACCCCTTTCCCCAGCCCTCTGGAAAAACAGTTTTGGTAATCCCCCACCTCCTCCTAACTTCCAAAATACGAAATTTCTGCATTATATTCACACCACACATTGCCCCCAGACATGACATCTCCAAATGCCTCCAGCCTTCTCCCGCTGCAACATTTTTCACCCACGCTTCACACCCATATAAGAGCGTTGGTAAAACTATACTCCCCTTTAATTTCCCCCCCTTTGGGCCCCCAAGGAAAAAATTTTTTGTTTCCCCAGACCCAAAATTTCACCACTCACTCTTTTTTTCCTCTTTAATTCTATGATTCACCTCAACTTTCATAGACCCCCCCGCTGACACCTCCATCCCCAAAAAATCTGAAAAGTTTTACCCCTCCATACTCTCTCCCTCCAATCTGATATTCAAATTTTTATCACCCAATCTTTTGTTACCTCAAAACCTTTTCTCTTTCCTGTTTTTACCTTTTAAATTTTTTTTCTTTTGCAACCCTACCAAATTCTCCACCAATCTCTGAAAAATTTTCTTCAGAATCTCCCAAGACCCCAGTGTCATCAGCAAAAGGGCAGCTGTGACAAAACCCCCCCTTTTTTGTGTTTTTTCTTTAAACTTTTAACCCACCCTTTTTTGCCAAGCCCCCCGCATTTTTTAAAAAAATTCTTTACAACCCCCCCTCTATAAAAATATTAAACAAAACCCGGGGGACTCACCAAACCTTGTCCTTTAAGGGGCCTTTCTTTTATGGGAAAAAATTTCCCCCTTTCCCCACTTTCTCTAACTTTAGCCACTAAACCCCGGGAAAAAATCTTCCCCTGCTTTCCCTAACCTACCCCCTACACCATACACTTGCAACATTTTGCCCATTGGCCCCCTATCCCCCTGTCAACGCCTTTTCCAAATCCTTTAAAACCACAAAGACCTCTTTTCCTTATCTAAATACTGTTTTACTTATATGTTTCAATGAAACACCTGGTCCCCCACACCCCCCACCTTTCCAAAAACCTCCTTGTTCATCTGCAAACCTATTCTCCGTTTTTACTTTAAATTTCAATTAAAAAATTACCTTTAAAATTTACCAGGGGACACCAACGCTTTTCCCCCTATAATTTTTTTCACTCTCTTTTATCCCCCTTTTCCTTTATACAAAGGAACTATGCATGCTCTTTTGCAATCCCCAGGTACCTTTTTCCCCCCTTCCATACATTTTTAAATAAGGGGGAAAAACCCCTCCAAAACTATTCCCCCCTGCTTTTTAAAATTTTTATCTTTATCCCCTAATCCCCGGGTGCCTTTCCCCCCTTTTATTTTTTCCTACTGCCTTTACGAACTTCCCCCACACTCAAAACTGGGTCTTCCCCACCTTTTTACAAGATGTTATTCCCCCTTGCCCTATACCCCGAAATCACGTTCCCTATCTTTATCAACAAAATTAAAAAATTTTCCCCCAAAATATTCCTTCCCTCTTCCCCAAAACCTCTAACTCTCCATTTAATAACCCTCCTTCCTAAATTTTTTAAATGACAAATTTTCCCTTTTTTCTCTAGGGGTTTCTTAACTTGTTAAACTCACTCCCAAAAATTTTTTTTTATTTTCAAAAAAAATTTTTTTGATAACATCCCCACCCACTCTCTCATTTGCTCTCTTTTTACATTACTTCACCACTCTCTTAACTTTTCCTTTTTCTCCAATACTCTTCCCTCCTTGCATCACTTTACTTTGTAAAAATTTCTCATATGCTAACTTTTTCTCCCTTACTACCTCTTTACATCACATTCCACCAATCGCTCCTCTTCCCCCCTGCCCCCACTTTCCGAAACCCACAAACTTCTGTGAAACACTCAAACACTCATTTTAACCCTCCCCCATACCTCTTCACCCCATTGCCTTGCTCTCATTACCCCCATCTATCCCCAAATAGCTTTTTATTCTTACCCTAACTGCCTCCTCTTTTAGTTTTAAACCTTACCTCTCTCTTCCCTGATGCTTCTTTTTCCTTGTATCCCATCTACCTTTTACTCTCAGTTACTAAAACTAAAAAAGGATCTGATATACTGGGGCCCCCTCTATATATATTATATATAAAAAAAAAAAAATATATAATATATATTATATATATATATATAATGTCGTGCCGAATATGTAAAAGGGTCAATTAGCAAGAATCTTTAAAATTAAGTCCTGTCGAAAAATTTCTCTTATCGATTAAAGATACATTTTTTTCTTTAATGTTAAGTAAAATTTTTAAATTTTGCAAAAAAAGAATCTTAGAAAATTACCTAACCCTTTTACAAAAATCAAATTTTTTTTAGCTAACCCGCTAAATACTTTTAGATTGTTTACAGTAATTTAATACTAAACAACCCCAGTGAAATTATTTTTTTCGTTAGGGTTTAGAATGATTTTTCGAAATTATTTCATAACAAAAATTTATTGTCCTATATGTCAAGATGAGCGTTGCTATTTAAGCCAAGATCGCAAATTCTGCCTATTCGGCACGACATATAGCCCGAGACTGTTCAACTGCCTCCCAGCATACATAAGGGGGATTACCAACAGACCCCTGGCAGTCTTCAAGCTGGCACTGGACAAGCACCTAAAGTCGGTTCCTGATCAGCCGGGCTGTGGCTCGTACGTTGGTTTGCGTGCAGCCAGCAGTAACAGCCTGGTTGATCAGGCTCTGATCCACCAGGAGGCCTGGTCACAGACTGGGCCGCGGGGGCGTTGACCCCCGGAACTCTCTCCAGGTAAACTCCAGGTAATATAGGGAGGTACCACCTCTAGAACTGTTATAGGGACCCTCATCCTCAGAGAAAAGAATAAACTTGCTTCAGGGAAAACTCAAGGTTCTCCTGAAGCTGTTTGAGAATTTTCTCCTACCACCCCCTATATTTTATATATATTTTATTTAAAGACAAAATACATTGACAAAACATTCACAAAAATACGATAGAAAGTAAAACAACATAGGTAACTCAGATTTACATCTCGAATACTTCGTCCAGCTCCCCGGCGGTGGGCCGCGTGCCCAGAATGCTGCAGGCATTTCCTCTCTGGATCGCAACACTGAGTCTCTGAAAGATGAAGCTGGTCGCCCTGTGGTCCTTGGTTTCTGTGATGAGCTTTTCACCCAACTCTATTAGGAACTTTAGAACACACTTGCCCCATGCTCCAAGGGTCTCCGACCCTATTGGGATGAAGTTATAGCAAGGGGGAAGGTCTTCATATTTGCGGATCTTCTGGGTCCCCCTGTGGCTGGCAGCTCCACCGCCTTCCACTACGGAGTATGGCATTTAGGTGTCTGCCAATGTGGCGGCACATGTGTAGTCCCAGGCAATCTGCTTTCCATCCTTCCAAGGTAGCATAGTGGCTCCATCAGGACGCTTTTGACTTCCGTCAGACCTCTGCACTTGGGGTTCCCGTTGAGCTGGGCAACGGGCTATGGCGAGGCTTCTCTTTATGATGTCATTGACCTCCTCATGCCTGGCATACTTCCCTTCTGCTGTGTGACACACGAGACCATGAAGTCCGAATTGATCAGCTGTCGCCCTGCCGCAAATACACCTATGTTCGGTGAGGATGGGGGCGGCTAGGCGAAGAGCAACACCAATCCGAATGGCCTGTGGGTCTAGTCGAGTGCCCAAGGAGGAATTGGGAACAGCTAACAGGAAATCTCCTGAGTGTGGTGCCTTCACTGCCAGGAGACGAGTTTTGTCCTTTCCTGAGGCGTTGGAGAGCATTGTGTTGGCGATTTTTTCCATGATCGGTTTGCCCCAGTGGGACTGTTTGTGTTCTTTGGGAGGAGCTGGTCTACTGGAGGAATCTGTAAGGGTGTCCCACCGAATCGCTGCTTCAGTAAACCTGGGGTCTTGAGCTCCTACCACATCTCTCAAGCGTTCGGGAACAATCTTCTTGACTAATGCACTGGAAGCCAAACACGAAGACAGAAAAGCAGGTAAAGCAACACGCATTGCTTTGCGCACCCCTATACCTCCCAGTCGCACTGGGAGGGTTGCCTGATCCCATTGCTGATTCTCTAGTGACAGGTTCAGTGCCTTCTTAGGGGTTGACCTCAGGTGTGCGTCATATTCGTCGAGTGTTGGGTTGTCAAAGGAGGGTACACACCTCAGGAAGTAAACCATACCCCCGGCCGGGATTGAACCCGCGGTCATAGAGTCTCAAAACTCCAGCCCGTCGCGTTAGCTAACGCGACGGGCTGGAGTTTTGAGACTCTATGACCGCGGGTTCAATCCCGGCCGGGGGTATGGTTTGTTTGCAATCGTGTCATTACGATTTCTTGAGTCATGTTGACTCAGGAAGTAAGTGAGTCTTGGAATAGTAAGGCACCTTGTGAGGAGATACAGAGCATCATGGGCATCAAGATTGCTTATTCTCTCCTCCATTCTCATCAGGTCATTCAATTTGTCCTTGAGGACTGTGTCGATGGCCTGGTGACCCAGCGGTGCTCCCAAGAGGGTACTGTTGGACAGAGTGGTAGTAGAGACTTCTGGGAGGATTCTGATTATTTCCTGGTTCGCTGTGATGATTTCACACTTGGAGGGATTGAGGATGAGTCCCAAGTCTTCTCCCTATGTTTTCACCAGTTGTAGGTCCCCTACGAGGGACTCTTCAGTACCTGCCAGAGTTCCATTATCCAGGTACCAGATGTTGAGCTCGCTGCGTAGGCTGGAAGTTAGTTCTCTTACTGCCAAGCAGAAGAGAAGTGGAGCTAGTGGGTCACCCTGCTGAACACCTTCTGATGAGAGAATTTCATGTTCTCGAAACAAAAGAATTGAGGGTTTGCTGTAGCCGGCTGAAATGAAGGGAAAAAGACTGGAGAAGCGATCCCGAACAGCTGGCAAGACAGCATCTCTCTTTACCATATTAAAGGCATTTCTAAAATCAAGTTTGACTACGGCCTTGTCTTCTGGTAGGTCCCTGATGTAGGCCCTTGCCGCATGAGCTGCAGCTTCACTGCCTTGAGGGACCCCAAAGCCCAGTTGGTGTGGCTGGAGTAAACTGGCAGCTTCTAGGCGAATGTTTCTTACTGCTGCTTTGGCAACGAGACGGCGAAGGGTGTTTCCAACCATAATGGGTCTGATTCCCCCATCCTTCTTCTTCAACCCACACCAAAAAGGTTTAATTTCTTCTGGGATTCGCCCAGCCAGGCAGTTGTTGGCGAAAGTTGTTAACTCGGTGAGAAGAAGTGATGCAGATGCACCGAGTACTGGATTTATCATCTCCTTGAGGTGCTGAGGTCGAATTCCAGTGTAACCTCCTGCAGATCCTGCAGGAAATGACACAATCGCCTTATAGACTTCCGATTCAGGCAAAATTAATTGTTCAGTGATGGGGTCTTCCTCAGGGTTGTTGTTGATGGCTATGGTGTCCCTGGTTGGATGCTTGTCTCTTAGTGCTTGGGCTGTGATCTCATCGTTGGGGGCTACAGTGTCGTCACTTGTAATTATTCGGATTGCTCCCACTGTGTTACCTTCTTCAATTTTTTTTTTTGCTAACCTGTGCGCAAATTTTCTCGTTTTCAGTGGGACTTTTCTTGGGTCTACCTTTGTATATATATATAAATGTTAGGGTGTTCGGGAGAGGGGTGGGATTAAATTATGGGGAATCAAATTCAAAATGGGAACTGACACAGTTACTTTTTGCTGATGATACTGTGCTTATGGGAGATTCTAAAGAAAAATTGCAAAGGTTAGTGGATGAGTTTGAGAATGTGTGTAAAGGTAGAAAGTTGAAAGTGAACATAGAAAAGAGTAAGGTGATGAGGGTATCAAATGATTTAGATAAAGAAAAATTGGATATCAAATTGGGGAGGAGGAGTATGGAAGAAGTGAATGTTATCAGATACTTGGGAGTTGACGTGTCGGCAGATGGGTTTATGAAGGATGAGGTTAATCATAGAATTGATGAGGGAAAAAAGGTGAGTGGTGCGTTGAGGTATATGTGGAGTCAAAAAACGTTATCTATGGAGGCAAAGAAGGGAATGTATGAAAGTATAGTAATACCAACACTCTTATATTGATGTGAAGCTTGGGTGGTAAATGCAGCAGCGAGGAGACGGTTGGAGGCAGTGGAGATGTCTGTCTAAGGGCAATGTGTGGTGTAAATATTATGCAGAAAATTCGGAGTGTGGAAATTAGGAGGTGTGGAGTTAATAAAAGCATTAGTCAGAGGGCAGAAGAGGGGTTGTTGAGGTGGTTTGGTCATTTAGAGAGAATGGATCAAAGTAGAATGACATGGAAAGCATATAAATCTATAGGGGAAGGAAGGAGGGGTAGGGGTCCCTCCTCGAAAGGGTTGGAAAGAGGGGGTAAAGGAGGTTTTGTGGGCAAGGGCTTGGACTTCCAGCAAGCGTGCATGAGCGTGTTAGATAGGAGTGAATGGAGACGAATGATACTTGGGACCTGACGATCTGTTGGAGTGTGAGCAGGGTAATATTTAGTGAAGGGATTCAGGGAAACCGGTTATTTTCATATAGTCGGACTTGAGTACTGGAAATGGGAAGTACAATGCCTGCACTTTAAAGGAGGGTTTGGGATATTGGCAGTTTGGAGGGATATGTTGTGTATCTTATACGTATATGCTTCTAAACTGTTGTATTCTGAGCACCTCTGCAAAGCAGTGATAATGTGTGTGTGGTGAAAGTGTTGAATGATGATGAAAGTATTTTCTTTTTGGGGATTTTCTTTCTTTTTTGGGTCACCCTGCCTCGGTGGGAGACGGCCGACTTGTTGAAAATATATAATATATATATATATATAAATATAATATATATATATATATATATATATATACTATATATATATATCAAACACTGATCTCTGGCTGAGGGAGATTCGAACCTACGAACCTTAGGACAAGGTACGCAGTGCTTTACCAATCTACCCACACTGGACAATACCTTGGCGTGTAGCTTGCGCTACACGTTTGATCCAAGGCAGCCAGCTTTCAAGGAGAAGGCTTACAGCTTTTCATCTCATCCCCTGCATGCATCACCCTTACAAGAGATATTAACAATACAAGGAATTCGCGAGAGCAGGCGAAATATACACAAACACTGTATATTTGCATTGTTAAAATCTCTAGTAAGGGTGATGCATGCAGGGGATGAGATGAAAAGCTGTAAGCCTTCTCCCTGAAAGCTGGCTGCCTTGGATCAAACGTGTAGCGCAAGCTACACGCCAAGGTATTGTCCAGTGTGGGTAGATTGGTAAAGCACTGCGTACCTTGTCCTAAGGTTCGTAGGTTCGAGTCTCCTTCAGCCAGAGATCAGTGTTTGTGTATATTTCGCCTGCTCTCGCGAATTCCTTATATATATATATATATATATATATATATAATATATATATATATATATATATATATATATTATATATATATATATATATATATATATATATCGGTAAAACTGGTCAATTAGCAAGAAGTCATTAAAATTCAGTCCTTTCTAAAAAATTACTTGCTATAGCACGATTCGTAGTGAATTTATGTACAAATGTCCTTTTCGTAATCTTCAGTCTGGATATGATCCTGGATGGTAAAGGTTTGGAGGGTGTTAGTACTAACCACTTCGTGTCCGAAGTGTTTGCACTTGTCCTCTCATAGCGTTCCGATACCTCAGTAAGGAATCGTTCAAGACACTGTACACCATGTACGTCATGCCCATACTGGAGTATGCAGCACCAATTTGGAACCCACACCTGGTCAAGAACGTTAAGAAATTAGAGAAAGTGCAAATGTTTGCAACAAGGATAGTTCCAGAGCTAAGGGGAATGTCCTACGAAGAAAGGTTAAGGGAAATCGACCTGACGACACTGCAGGACAGGAGGATCAGGGGAGACATGATAACGACATACAGAATACTGCGAGGAATAGATAAGGTGGGCAGAGACAGGATGTTACAGAGATGGGACACAGAAACAAGGGGTCGCAATTGGAAGTTGAAGACTCAGGTTAGTCAAAGGGATGTTAATAAGTATTTCTTCAGTCACAGAGTTGTCAGGATGTGGAATAGTCTAGCAAGTGATGTAGTGGAGGCAGGAACCATACATAGCTTTAAGACGAGGTATGATAAAACTCATAGAGCAGGGAGAGAGAGGACCTAGTAGCAATTAGTGAAGAGGCCGGGCCAGGAGCTGAGTCAGGACCCCTGTAACCACAAATAGGCGAGTACATATACATATATATTCTGTATATTAACCTTTTGCTTCCTTTCAGGTCGTTGAACACACATCGTTCTCTTCAATGAAGTCTCGTTTAGTGGAATTCGAAGGAAAGGCTTTTAAAAGTGATGCCGAGAAGAATGAAGGGTTCTTTAGAAAAGGTACATGATATATAATGTACTGAAATTTATTTATAAAAATAAATATATTGTCCTGTTTTCCTGTATGCATGATTGTGCCATGCAGTTATATGATCAGTGTAAAATATTACCCGCACAGGAACGGATTAATATCGTAAGGCGGGGGTCCACTGTACCTCAAAATATTTGTCATCTTAATGTTGGGTGAGAGGAGAGTACAGTGAAACCCCAATTTTTGCTTTTAATTCGTTCGTTAAGACCATATAGAATGAAAGATGATTAAAAATGTAATTATATTAATTATATTCAAGCTCCATTTTTTGGTTTGTAAATTATATGTTAATTTTCAGGCGTAATAGGGGACTGGAAGAACCACTTCTCACCAGAGTTGGAGAAACAGATGAATCACTGGATCGAAAATAATACTGCCAACACTAATATTATCTTTAAGGGTAATTAATGGTAATTTTCATGTATATGACATGAAAAGTAATCACAAAATTAGTGACGTTGAGAATGCTGTATTTTTCACAAATTTACAGATCTATGTTTAAAATTTAATTAGTGATGAAGTTACTAATGTATTTTCCACTTAAATATTTTGTACAGTATTTTACACTAATGTACCTACAGACCATGACATGTTTTGTTGTTGAATCTGTCAGGGAATATCATGACACTACAGTAAAGTTCGTTCGTCGGGACCCAAGACTTGCGTCTCATGACACAGATCTTTGCTTTAGCGTAATTGCTAAGCAAGAATGAAGGGATATTGCAGTAGGCCTACTGGCCCGTGCTAGGCATGTCTAAGGCCCACTCACATCCACTCTTATCCCTCCAACAAATATTTGAAGGTACCCAAAATACCTAGTAGTAGGTAGGTAGGTATAATGTTCGTCAGGAAACAGGACAAGTGTTTCCTGACGCGGGTCTTAGTCATATGATAACCCACAGCTGGAGCTTTCGGTCATCTGATCGAGGCCTTCCTCTGGCTTACCGGTCCACCCCTTTAAAAATCATGGTTATGATTATAATCATTAGTGTTTTTAATCACCTGTTATTATCATTATCACAACTTCATTACTGCTACAGTAATTATTGTAACAGAGATTTTAGATAATTAACATTACCTTTTGCAGGTCCTTCATAAATATAATAAAACTATAATGATCTAAATGGTTAATCATTACTCTTATACAATTGTATTTATAATTGAGGAACTTTGTGTAAAGGTTGTTGATTACGTTCATTGTCTGGGCTTGACACTTGTTCATTGTCTGGGCTTGACACTTGTTCATTGTCTGGGCTTGACACTTGTTCATTGTCTGGGCTTGACACTTGTTCATTGTCTGGGCTTGACACTTGTTCATTGTCTGGGCTTGACACTTGTTCATTGTCTGGGCTTGACACTTGTTCATTGTCTGGGCTTGACACTTGTTCATTGTCTGGGCTTGACACTGTTGTTCAATGTCTGGGCTTGACACTGTCGTTCAGTGTCTGGGATTGACACTGTCGTTCAGTGTCTGGGCTTGACACTGTCGTTCAATGTCTGAGCTTGACACTTGTTCATTGTCTGGGCTTGACACTGTCGCTCAATGTCTGGGATTGACACTTGTTCATTGTCTGGGCTTGACACCGTTGTTCAATGTCTGGGCTTGACACTGTCGTTCAATGTCTGGGATTGACACTGTCGTTCAGTGTCTGGGCTTGACACTGTCGTTCAATGTCTGGACTTGACACTGTCGTTCAATGTCTGGGCTTGACACTATCATTCAATGTCTGGGTTTGACACTGTCGTTCAATGTCTGGGCCTGACACTGTCGTTCAGTGTCTGGGCTTGACACTTATTCATTGTCTGGGCTTGACACTGTCGTTCACTGTCTGGGCTTGACACTGTAGTTCATTGTCTGGGATTGACACTTGTTCATTGTCTGGGCTTGACATTGTCGTTCAATGTCTGGGCTTGACACTATCGTTCAATGTCTGGGCTTGACACTGTCGTTCAATGTCTGGGCTTGACACTATCGTTCAATGTCTGGGCTTGACACTTGTTAATTGTCTGGGCTTGACACTGTCGTTCAATGTCTGGGCTTGACACTGTCGTTCAATGTCTGGGCTTGACACTGTCGTTCAATGTCTGGGCTTGACACTGTCGTTCAGTGTCAGGTCTTGGCACTGTCGTTCAATGTCTGGGCTTGACGCTATCGTTCAATGTCTGGGCTTGACACTGTCGTTCAATGTCTGGGCTTGACACTGTCGTTCAGTGTCTGGTCTTGACACTGTCGTTCAATGTCTGGGCTTGACACTGTCGTTCAATGTTTGAGCTTGACACTTGTTCATTGTCTGGGCTTGACACTGTCGTTCAATGTCTGGGCCTGATACTGTCGTTCAATGTCTGGGCTTGACACTGTCGTTCAATGTCTGGGATTAACACTTGTGTTCATTGTCTGGGCTTGACACGTTGTTCAATGTCTGGACTTGACACTGTGTTCAATGTCTGGGCATTGACACTTGTTCATTGTCTGGGCTTGACACTGTCGTTCAATGTCTGGGCTTGACACTGTCGTTCAGTGTCTGGTCTTGACACTGTCGTTCAATGTCTGGGCTTGACACTGTCGTTCAATGTTTGAGCTTGACACTTGTTCATTGTCTGGGCTTGACACTGTCGTTCAATGTCTGGGCCTGACACTGTCGTTCAATGTCTGGGCTTGACACTGTCGTTCAATGTCTGGGATTAACACTTGTTCAATGTCTGGGCTTGACACTGTTGTTCAATGTCTGGACTTGACACTGTCGTTCAATGTCTGGGATTAACACTTGTTCATTGTCTGGGCTTGACACTGTCGTTCAATGTCTGGGATTAACACTTGTTCATTGTCTGGGCTTGACACTGTCGTTCAATGTCTGGGCTTGACACTTGTTCATTGTCTGGGCTTGACACTGTCGTTCAATGTCTGGGCTTGACACTTGTTCATTGTCTGGGCTTGACACTGTTGTTCAATGTCTGGACTTGACACTGTCGTTCAATGTCTGGGATTGACACTGTCGTTCAGTGTCTGGGCTTGACACTGTCGTTCAACGTCTGGACTTGACACTGTCGTTCAATGTCTGGGCTTGACACTATCGTTCAATGTCTGGGCTTGACACTGTCGTTCAATGTCTGGGCCTGACACTGTCGTTCAGTGTCTGGACCTGACACTTATTCATTGTCTGGGCTTGACACTGTCGTTGAATGTCTGGGATTGACACTTGTTCATTGTCTGGGCTTGACATTGTCGTTCAATGTCTGGGCTTGACACTGTCGTTCAATGTCTGGGCTTGACACTGTCGTTCAATGTCTGGGCTTGACACTATCGTTCAATGTCTGGGCTTGACACTGTCGTTTAATGTCTGGGCTTGACACTGTCGTTCAATGCCTGGGCTTGACACTGTCGTTCAGTGTCTCGTCTTGACACTGTCGTTCAATGTCTGGGCATGACACTGTCGTTTAATGTCTGGGCTTGACACTGTCGTTCAGTGTCTAGTCTTGACACTGTCGTTCAATGTCTGGGCTTGACACTGTCGTTCAATGTCTGGGCTTGACACTGTCGTTCAATGTTTGGGCTTGACACTTGTTCATTGTCTGGGCTTGACACTGTCGTTCAGTGTCTGGTCTTGACACCTGATTACCTCCTGGTGCAAACAAGGTAGTATACAGAATCAATGCCTCTTAATAAAGATACGTAATTAATAATAAATAACTAACATTGCTATCTTAGTGAAGTTTGGACTAAAGAGAAATTTTTTCAAATCCTGATGTGGTGATGCGAGAACCTGAGAACCTGGTCTTGTGACGTTACAACGACCAACACTGCTACAGGACAGTGTTTTAATGATACTGAATTACTGTTTTATTCAACGAGGAAGACCTAAACCAGTAAAGGGTAATATGGCGTCTGGGGAACGTGTGGTAATCAGGTTCAATCCAATTCCTTCGATCAATAGGTTTTTCACTGGGATTTAAAGGACGTGTAATTTTATAGTTTTATTTATCACTTATCATGCAAAAATTTAATACTAAACAGTTATTTGGATCAACCAAAAAATCGACAACCCAAGAAAACAACACAAGATTAGTTTATGCAAATTCTTATATAGGTAATTAGACTTATTTTAAATATACGAAAATTTCAGAAAGGCTAGACTAGCAGCTGCTTAGTTTTACTGCTATAATTAGCATATATTATTATTATAAACAAAAAAGCGGCTAACCAAAGGGCTATACAGCAATTACATATAAAACCTCAAAATAAATGTTTGCTTTAGTTTAAGTGTCATTCTTAAGTTAAACATCAGAAAAAATACTTTTTTCCGAAGAAATGTTGATCTGACCCAGTGGCGAAAGCACTACAAGTGTCTTCAAACAAGACTTGTGATAGGGCAATAATTTGCACAAATCCTCATATATCATTATTTTGTTAGTTACAACTTATCACTCTTCCCATGGTTTCTTGTACATGACAGTGCATGCTGTTGCTGGTGTGCAGCGTTGGAGACAGTGCTGCTGTGGTGCAGAGGTGTGGAGAGTGTTGCTGTGGTGTAGAGGTTGGAGACAGTGCTGCTGGTGTGCAAGAGTGTGGAGACAGTGCTGTGGTGTTGCAGAGTGTGGAAGTGTTGTTGGTGGTGTAAGGTGGAGACAGTGCTGCTGGTGTGCAAGTGTGAGAGTGTTGTTGGTGGTGTAGAGGTGTGGATAACAGTGCGCGTGGTGCAGAGGTTGGAGCAGTGCTGCTGGTGTGCAGAGGTGTGAGACAGTGCTGCACTGCTGTTGCAGAGGTGTGGAGACAGTGCTGTGGTGTCAGAGTGTGAGACATTTGCTGTGTGGTGCAGAGGTGGGGAGAGTGTTGCTGGTGGTGTAGAGGTGTGGAGACAGTGCTGCTGGTGATGCAGAGGTGTGGAGAGTGTTGCTGGTGGTGTAGAGTGTGGAGACAGTGCTGCTGGTGGTGCAGAGGTTGGGAGACAGTGCTACTGCTGGTGCAGAGGTGTGGAGACAGTGCTGCTGGGGTGCAGAGGTGTGGAGACAGTGCTGCTGCTGGTGCAGAGGTGTGGAGACAGTGCGCTGGCTGGTGCAGAGGTGTGAGACATGCTGCTGCTGGTGCAGAGGTGTGGAGACAGTGCTGCTGGTGGTGCAGAGGTTGTGGAAGACAGTGCTGCTGGTGTGCAGAGGTGTGATGACAGTGCTGCTGGTGGTGCAGAGGTGTGGAGAGTGTTGCTGGTGGTGTAGAGGTGTGGATACAGTGCTGCTGGTGGTGCAGAGGTGTGGAGACAGTGCTGCTGGTGGTGCAGAGGTGTGGATGTTGCTGTGGTGTAGAGGTGTGGAGACAGTGCTGCGCTGGTGCAGAGGTGTGGAGAAGTTTGTAGTGTGCAGCAGTGTGGAGAGTGTTTGCTAGGGGTGTAGAGGTGTGGAGACAGTACAGCTGGTGGTGCAGAGTGGGAGAGTGTTGCGTGGGCAGCGTGTCGAAGTTTGCTGGTGTAGAGGTGTGGAGACAGTGCTGCGTGGTGGTGCAGCAGTGTGGAGAGTGTTGCTAGTGGTGTAGAGGTGTGGAGACAGTGCTGGTGGTGGTGCAGAGGTGTGGAGAGTGTTGCTGGTGGTGCAGCGGTGTCGAGAGTGTTGCTAGTGGTGTAGAGGTGCGGAGACAGTGCTGCTGGTGGTACAGAGGTGTGGAGACAGTGCTGCTGGTAGTGTAGAGGTGGGAAATAATGTTGCTGGTGGAGCAGAGGTCGGCATATAGTGCTGGTGTTGTCAGTAGTTTACTTGAAGGTAATGCCAATCTCAGAAGCATGTTTCTCAATCCACTGGTTCATTTCCTGCTCCAGTTCTGGTGTGAAGTGGTTCTTCCAGTCACCTACGATACCTGCAACACAAAGTTTAGTTTACATTATGACCACACTATCTAAGTGGTAGAGTTTTCGGCTCTCACCCGAAACAATCTGGGGTTCACTTCTCGAGACTTGTGGTCGTCTCTGTACACCTGCTGCCCCTGTTCACTAGCAGTAAACAAGTACGTATACGTGTTAGTAGAATTTTGAGTGCGGCATCCTGGAAAAGAGGTATAGTATATCTTAGAAAGGGTTAGGCTTTAACATGAGCGAGGTACAACAAAATGTGGAAACAAAAGAAAAAATATACGATGGCTGCAGCTTAAGTTCTCTTCATACCCTGACTGGTGTGATGCCTGGCATTACAACATCCAGGTCACTGATGCCGTATAGTGTAATTTTTTTATATACTAATAATTAGCTCGTCAGCTAGATATATTTCGATCTCTGCACGATCCGAAAAAGGTATCCCCGTGTTACATCACAGCAGTTCCCTGTATCTCAGTGCACTCGAAAGGCATAGTGCAGAGTGCAGCTCAAGTTTGTAATGCAACAAAATATTAGCGTTGACGATTTCAGCGAAAGAAGCATTTACAAATCATTACATGGAAACAACTAATATAACAGTTTAATAAATATTGACAAATTAGGACATGCACAGCCCAACACAAATTCAAATTTTCCACCAAGAGAAACCAGCTTTAAGAATTTAAAACCAAACTGAAGAGGCGTTCTGTGGTTATGTCATTTAGACCAATATCCCATGATACACTAAGTTTGAAGCCGCTCACAAGTTGTATTATCAATTTATCGAGTTTTTTTTTTTATATTTTATTTAAAACTCAGGTACAATATATGGGTACATAATCAATATGTAACAAGATACAGGCAGTGAACAATAATCAACTGTGACTACACAGTACTGAAGAAGCACATATATAATGACAGAACTGGCTGCTGCACTCAAATCAAACACCGCTTGTACGTACTGTGCTTCACATGAAAAGGTGGTCATATAAAAAAGCGATAGAACCTACCCAGTAATGCTTACACTCCCCCCCCTCCATGAAAACGTGCCACTTTCACCTTAGATACACAGTGACAAATCTCTTATACTATACATTTGTAAAAGCATTAAAAACTTCAATGACAATATATATAAACACAATCCAGCCAGCTAAACGGCTGAACACTATAATACATGAATGTCTGAACCTGATTGGCTCACATCACCATCGAACACAATCCACCTAACCTACAATATACCCTAATGGTAATAATTTAATATCGTGCAACGGTGTTGTGTTTTGAACACAAGTCACCCTGACACTTCAAACCCCCCCGCCCCCCCCACATTCCGAGTAACTGTTCTGGCCGTCACCACTCATAACCACCAACAGTCATTGATGGTAATTAGCGTCCTTATAATATATCACCCTAAAAAACACGCTACACACATAAACCAACCACAATAAATAAATAAATTTTACACTTATTCTATTCCCTCCTGCAACAGATTATTTCCACTGTCACGGAGATAATCTATACATCACATATCCGACAGAAATGGACAACATTAGACATCTATCTTAAATTAAAATGACATGTGTATCACATGACCTTCTATTGCAGAGATTACTAAACACCTACCCCCCCCCCCCAAGTAAAAAAAAAAAAAAAACCTAATATGGGGGGAAATAAACCAGTTTCACTGGCTATACACAAATCAAAAACTCATCCACTGAAACCATATATAATGAAAATTGAAAAAACATCTTGTAACAATATATAAGCAAAAACACACCCCAGGCAAGATCTACATTATATACATATACCAAAACGTTCCACTAGTTAAAAAACAGTATGAACCTTCTTATTATGACAAGTTACATTGCTCAGTAATATAGGTAGACAAGTATAATTTACATTTTAAAAATATGTCTTATATACAAACATGCTTATGTACCATCCTTACACACATGAAGAATCCTTAGATAAAATATAATCTTCGGGTGTTCACATACACCCACACATAACAATGAAATATTCACATGATATCACCTCAACAACCATTCCTCACACGAATGCTCCACACACACTCATCAGGACCACACCATCGACCTCTGCAACACCCCCCATCCCCAAGGAAGTCCGCCCGTTCATCCCCAGACCACTTAAAAAGACCAAAAATACCCTCAAATGAAAGTCCCTGTAAGCCCTCCGAGAAATCCTCTCCCACCTCCAACCAAATATTTCCCTGTTGCGACACTTTGTTCTAAAAAGGATTTGCTGGCTATGTCCATCCTAACGTACCTTCCGCCCCTTTGTCTCTTCATTCCCCATGATATATACCACAAAATCAACCATAAAGAAGCCTCTGCCCTTTGAACCTTTACCCCAACCCCAACTACATCTAAACTGAGCGCTCTCAAACCGACAACCCTTTCCCCCCCACATACCGATTACTTCCCTAGACCATTTCCCGCACAATCCAAGGCTTTCACAAAAATAAACTACATGAAAGCTGATTCTTCACCCCACAAACCTGACACTTCCCCCACCCTTATTCGCCTATTTCGTAAACAACCCCAGACTGCAAAGAGTCCGTGAAGCAACCTATACAATACCTCCCTCAGCGGTGGCCTGATGCGTAACCCTTTTAATCGACCCCAAAGTCATCCCCTGCTGACATCGGTACAGCTCCATCCGTGCCACTTACCACCCTAGGCCATAACTTCCGTCTCCCATGGACCTACCCGCATGATTTCTCGCTCTCCTGACCATCATCAATAGGACCAATACAACTCCTCACATCACTCAATCCTTGGTCCCTTCCACCATCACCGAAGATCACCCTGCAGCATCCCAACCCTCCCACACCCTTCCCCCCGAGCCCTTAGCAACCCATGTTGTCACTTATAGCACAACTTCAACCTTCTTTCCAAAATGAAAAACCCCAGCCCTCCCAAGGCCACCGGAAGTTATACCACGCTCCCTTTTCAACCAATTAAATCCAACCGAACCCCAGATAAATCGGAAAACATCTGCCTCAACAATCTCCGGACAACCCCATTCACCAAAGGTACAAAGCTCCACATGCCATATTTTACTGTACAAAGCACATAGAGACCCAATGTGACGCCTCTGGTGTAGCTTAAGATGTGTGGGCCTCAATCCTGACAATCTTCCCAATACCCTATCTACCACACCTTGAATTATTCTCCTCGCCATCTAGCATTACCATTACACAACTCCCCAAATTTCACCTGGTCCACGACACCCACCTCACCGCCACCCCCCCCCCCCCCCCCCCCCCGCACTCCTGCCCATCCATTCAACTAATCTCATGAGCTTTGATTATGCACATTCACTGCCATACCTGTTTCCATCCCAAACATCTATACTCTCCAACCCACCAATCCCTTCCCCACCCACTCACAATGGCAGTTGTATCATCATCGTAACCTATGAATACTGGGACTCCCACCTCGTAGTCCTCCTTACTCCCATTCCAGGTATGCACCTTTCCACTGCACAATAAACTGATTCTAAAACATGCAAATAATAATTTGTGACAAACGGTACCTTGCCCTTCAATCCCCTGCCCATTTTCACATGCAAACCCCAACCCTCCCATTTATCTGTAACACATCCCAGCTCCCCGATATAAAGTAACGTGCCCACTTCACAATGGCCTCCCCGAACCCCCTGCCACTCCATGATTCTCCACAGAGCCCTCCCCTCTCGACACTGTTCATATGCCGTTCACACAATCCAACGCCAATACCCCTCGTTCCTTCCCCTCTTAGCGGACCCTCAATAAACCTACTAATAACCCATTCCCCTCAATACATGTATCACCCGGAAGTCCCATATTGACCCCTCACTATTACCTTTCCATGACCTTTTTATACGAATTCTCCAAAATTTTTGCAAAAAGTTTGTAGTCTGCACGCACGAGTGATATCATCCGGTAATCGCTCACTGTGCACTGACTTTACCCTTTGGCACCAAGCTACAATGCTGTGCCTCAAAGGTCCCCAACGCACCCCTCACTTTTATATTAAATAATATGCACCAAACATATCTTTTAATACTTTCCCCACTGCTGGTATGTAAACACCGCAGGCAGCCTCATCTACTATCCCCGTGACTTACCCCTAGCTCCAACTCATTAAAGCCGCCCACCACCTCTTCCTCCACATTAGGCCCCCAGTACCTGTTCCCTGTCGTCCCTGACCAGCACACGTCAGCACGCCATACCCCTGTCTCTCTTAAAGCCCCCTCTCTCACAAACCACACTCCTCATATGTCACATAAGCCAAGCATCAACATAACCCTCCCCAATCCCCTCCTCGTTCAACCAAAATCATGTCGCCTCCCTATAAACCCCTCGTTGTCCTCAAGAACTCTCAAACCCCTCCATTTCATTGCAATGCGCCGGCGCCCCTGCCCACGCAGGACAGACGCCGATTGGTCTCTCACCCACATGACATCCTCCAACCCCCCTAAAACCCTTGCCGCATCAAACCTCTCATTGCACTCACATTAGGCGTTCCTTCACTCCCTCTATGTCAGCCACAGTGGCTCCCTCATCCCCCCCATCCCCCCCCATCCTCTCTCATAATACTCCCTAAACTGCCCCTCAAGAATACATAATAACCCATAACCACGATTCTTGAGCCTTCCCTGTCGGACATAGAACTCTCCGAATCCTCGTCTGACGTCATATCCCAGCCATCTCAACACATCCCCATTGACTTCCATCCCTTCCCATAAGCCTTTCCCCACCATTGTGCAAATAGGACCCTCCCCTCAACATCTTGAAAGCAACCGCACATTCAATTTCCAGTAACTCTTATACCTGTTTCGGCGACCCACCCATCCCAAATCCACCACACACCTCTATGATCAGAAAAAAAGACATCCAAAACCTTACACTCCGTACCACTGGCTTTCCTTGTCAAGTATATCCTGTCCACCGTGCAGCATACCCTTGCCTCACAAAAGTGTGCTGCACCTCCCACGCTGCCCC